TCAGCTAATGATTTATATATCTTCTCATTAAAATCAAGGGAACAGTATCAGCTAATGATTTATATATCTTCTCATTAAAATCAAGGGAACAGTATCAGCTAATGATTTATATATCTTGTATGCTCTTAATTGCTAACCCTTTACTGTCAATGAAAATAGAAAACAGTACAAAAATCTGAATATCCTGTAAAAAGCCAATTGACATCGAACTTTGGTTAGGAAAAATGGCTGCCACTCTTTCCTACTGCATTTTTATCAGTTTTTTGGATGTTCGTAACAGAATAAAACTTCATTTTTTATCATTTCCATACAAGATAATGTTTTGCTTAATGGCATTATTAAGATAAATCAAGGACTAATAGCAATGGTAGAGCTTGTTAATGAACAGAGACAACTATCCATTAGAGTCCAACCTTGCTTTACTTGCGAAGTGATGGCACTATATATACATATATATACACTGCCATTAGGATTTTAGATGATGGAATCTTGTAGATCTTGTAATTATTGATTTTTTGTGTTCTCTAAGTTTGATAAATGAATAAAATGTTCTAAAAAGTTCTTGGTACTGTAAAGGATACTTCAAATATTCTTGTTTTCCAATACTAATTAACATCATAACACTGAATATGCTATAAGTACTTAACAGAAAGCCTATTAGAAGGAGGATTACTCACAACAGAAAATGTTATTAATTTTACATTAATTGCATAGTAGCTAAAGACTGCATTGACATTTCAGCTAAGAACCAATACAGTGCTGTTCAGAAGAAGTTTAAATAATTCATAATCAGTATTAATGTTTTTTTTATCTAGTACTTGTTTTCAAATTTTACTGTGGAACTTGACATTCCTTGTGGGTACTCGCTTAAATAAGGATATAAGTTGAAACCATTGGAAATTGATGGTAATCTTGAATGCATTCTTTGTATATCCTTGCTAGGATTATGGATATATTTAGAAACCATTGGAAATTTGATTGTCATTTTAAATATAGAACTACGTATCAATGATTTCAATTGAAAAACCTGAAGTAATTATGTGGACAAGTTTATAATTTATTGAAGAAATCTGCAAAATAAATTGGAAGAAACTTCAAATGGAAAAAAAGTTGAAATGAATATTTCTTTTTCAACATATTTCATTCATGGAAACTTGACATTTTGGTAATAAAACTATCAGTTACTATTAGTGAAATTTTGCTTTTAAACTTCTGACATTTGGAAAAAGCAATCTGATACCAGAAAAATATAGAAGCCATTGAACCTCAAATGACAAGAGAATTGAATAGTCGGCAGATCACTTTCAGACTCACAGAAAAATCATACCAATATAATAAATTGAGTAATTTGTTTGAATTTGTCAGAAAAATTTGATTGCTTGAAAGATGGACATTTCTGAATTCCATAATATGACTGCTAAATATGGAGGAAGGATAATAGATCTGGTTGGAACAATATTTACAAGTAAAGTTTATTTTAGAATTTTAAACATGTTTTAGTCAGTATAGATAATTGCAGTTATATTCTTTACTGAAGAAAAGCTTTTTATGTGCCTTTTAATGACAGATTTAATATGTTATTCTATTTTTCTGTCCGCCTGAGCATATTTTTCTTTTAATTGTCTGCTTAAACAAATCATTACAATTTCTATACTTTTTTAGTTTATGTTTGACGATTTTTTTTAGATTTGTTATCTGGTTTTAAGGGCATTATAACCATACAGGTACAGGGGAGGTAATGACGTTGCTAACGTACTATGTTATTTTTCGCTACGTCAAACTGTGACTTATCGGGAAAAGATGCATTGTTCGAGGGATTTTAATCATTAGCTTGAAAACGAGTACATGGACCCCTCTTTTTTAAAATGACAAATGACTTAAAACTGTATGAAGATTATTTGTTCCATTTTTATGAAAAAATCACAGATGAAATTTTTTTTAATTAGATAAATATGCAGCAAAAAATGCTGTTTTTTTTAACTAACATCATGAGATTTTAATAAAAAATGAATTATTTTCAAAGAATTGTTTCACAAATTAAGAGCATACTTTTGTAAAGAAGATATTCCAAATTATTTTACGAAAAACTGAATGTGTTTATCTTTTGAAACAAAACAGTTAAGTATGTCTGTCCAAAGGATATAAATTTTTAATAAATATCTAAAATTTCAACACCATTTATCTCTAAATTTAACATATTTGAATTAACTAAGTAAAAAATAGCTTGCATGCAAATTTTCGTAAAAACATCACCATGAGATCAAAACTGTATCGTATACCCTTAAGTAGTCTGACAGCATTTTTAGGAACTTGCTGTGGCCCTAAGGATGTCAAAATGAGAGTCCATATCTAAAACATGGAAATTGCCAAAAAATCATTTTATATCCATTTTCTGCTACTGTGCTATTTGGGCAGTCAAATTGCATTGACTGTATAATCATTTGTGTCACTGTCACTGTCCATATATCATCTTGTTCATGAAATTGACAATGCTTTTTGGTAAAGTTTTATTTATCATAGACTTCAATATAGAATACAGGTTCATGGAATTTTTACATTATCCACTTCAAATTAAAAAATGGTGGTTTTTCCCACAAATATTTCATTTGGAACAGTTGTAAGAGTTGCGGTATAGAAAGAATAACAATATATTGTCTGGAAATATAAATTATATTTGAGCTCGGCTCAAAACAGGATAGAAATGCTCGGCACAGCCTCACATTCTACTGGTCTCTAAGCTAAGCTTTGTACAAATAAAATTTATATTTCCATTCGATGTATGGTTATTCTATATATATGACACAGTCCCAGCAAGTCCCAAAGAGACTGTCAGACGTCAGAGAAATCTTGGACTTGAGTTAATAGACTTGAATTATTTACAATTCAACAATTTGCCTTTCTTTGAAGTTCTAGAGTTACAGGAATTTGATAGTGCAGGTTGAACAAGTGAGATATAGATACCAACCATACAGTCATCGTGCAGTTGATTATTTTAAAGTAAATCATTACAGGTTTTCTTTAAACATGTTCATTTTGTATTTGCAAAAAGTTTCAGTCAACTATTGCTGAACTAATCTAAACATTCTGTACTTATTACAAACATGCTACAATTTAAATTTGGACTACAAATACAAGTACAAATACTTGATTAAATCCAATTAAAGGGCCCGTTTCCGGGCATACACATAGTATTGATTATACGGTAATTTTTTTTATATTTTACATTGAAAATAAATAAATGAATAAATTACTATCCTCCATACAAGATGGTGTTTAAAAATAAATAATAGAATATAGAATATTAACCCTTCGTAATACATGAAACATAAACTGCATCACTACTAAATGTGTATTTAGGACACTGGAATGCAAATTTTCTCTTATTTCAAAACAAATACTTATAAATCTTGACACTGATATATTAACATTTTCAGACTCGCTGGACATCAACCAAATAAATTGTTCGTATTTTGAAATACCAGGGAAGTTTTTACATTGAATAAATGTACAGAAGAAAATATTACTGGTTTCCTTGATGAAAAGAGAAGACCGGTGATAAAATGCATGGATTTAAATTATTTTTATACGACAGCAAAAAAATTTGCGGTCGTATATTGGTATCACGTCGTCGTTTTCAGCTTTGTCCGAAGACATTTGGTTTCCGGACAATAACTTTAGTAAATGAATATAGAAATCTATGAAATTTAAACACAAGGTTTATAACCACAAAAGGAAGGTTGGGATTGATTTTAGGGGTTATAGTCCTAACAGTTTAGGAATTAGGGGCCAAAAAGGGGCCCAAATAAGCATTTTTCTAGTTTCCAGACAATAACTTGTGGAATGGTGTATGGATCTCTCCAAATTATACCACAAGTTTCCATACCACAAAGGGATTGTAAGAATTGGCTTTTGGGGGTTATGGCTCAAACTCTGTAGGAATTAGGGGCAAAAAAGGGGGAAAAACAAGAGTGTCCTGGTTAATGGACAATTACTTAAGTACAAAAAATGATTTAAAAGCAGTGCAAGGGAGGTAATTCAAACACAACATTAGCTGTCAATTTATTTTTAGAAGTTACCATTTTAAAAATGCTGATGAAGGTAATTTAAAATTTAGCCATGATTATGTATGTCATTTTCTATTTAAAGACTTTTATGATGTATTTAAATGGGTTATTATGGTTGCAAACTCCATTGGAAATTTGAATTGAGATTATGACCATATCTTGAGGAAAGAATTTTTTTTTTGAAAAGGGGGGGGGGAGGTTAAAAAAAATTGGGGGGGGGGGGACAATTTGTTCTCAAGATTTCAGAAATTAAAAAGAAAATTTCTTAGAATATTATTTTTTTTTTGTCAAAAAAAAAGGGGTGGGGGGTAAAAAAAAATTTTTTTTTGGGGGGGGAGGAGGGGGTCAATTCGCAACAGCATACAAAAACAAAAAGATGAATATAAATTCAAATCACATAATGAATTCAAGTTCTTTGACTACAGTTATTCTGTGTCAGAAACCTTCTATGTGTCAAATATTTAATCACAATCCAAATTCATTCCTGTATCAAGTGCGAATATTGTGTCCATTTTTGCCCAAACTGTTCAGGGTTGGACCTCTGCGGTTGTATCCAGCTGTGCTTGGCGAAGCAATTTATTTTTTTCTCACACAACATCTTTTTTTATGTACTGTGACTATTATTTGTGAAGAAAAGGCTAAATGAATGATTTGAAACAAGTTTATCATGCACATATAACACAGTTATTAATTAGGCAGGCCCTATTATTGACTAACTCAGAAATTTAACCTCTTTCCTGGTAAATTAAGGTACAGCCAGTCTCAGCAGCCTTATAAATGGGAACATTAGAGAAACCAGACTCCAAAACAGTAATCTTCCCATGATGCAACATTGTTTGTGAGTTGGTCTATTAAAAGATAGGTCAGAATATGCAATAATTGTTCTAATATATGTTCTTTAACATAAAAATAAAGTTCACTAAATGTGTCTTTCAGCATACAAACTTTTCGGGAAAAAATTGCTAAAAACAAGCCGTCTTGTTGCTTCCACACAAGTTTTGACCAATAGTGCCATACCAACCAGTGATTGTGATGTTGTTGTTGCATTTCCTTCTGACCCAGATACTAATGTCCTCATGTGGTTATTGGACAAACTAAGGGAGAGAACTCCAGATATCATTGTTCATGTAAGACATCACAGCAACACTAAGGGACCAGTTCTTCATCTGACAGCTGCACATCAGAGGTAAGTAATAAATATTTATATCTTTAGGTCTTTGCTTTACAAAATACTCATCATTTTATTATTCTACTTGGAAAGGGGATTACATTTGAGCAGAATTACAAAGTCTTTTGCACATAGAGTTTCCATATCAGCTAGCAATTAGACTTCCAAATTGATAGCAATGGACAATAATGTCTTGTTCCATGAAACATGTCTTTATTTTCCAAACAGCAATGTCTGGACTACCATGTTTCTTTTTGCAACTTTGCAGACATTAGTATCGAGTTCTAAAGCCTGTGGCCTTTTTAATACGACCGCGAAAAAGTATATTGCTATAACGTCATCATCGTCGTTCGAAGACATTTGGTTTCCGGACAGTAACTTTAGTTTAAGTGTATGGATCTCTATGAAATTTAAGCAAAAGGTTTAATACCACAAAAGGAAGGTTGGGATTGTTTTTTTTTTATTTTGGGGGGGGGGGGGGGGATGGTCCCAACTGTTTAGGAATTAGAGGCCAAAAAGGGGCCCAAAACAAGCATTTTTCTAGTTTCAGAACAATAACTTGTGTATAAGTATTTTGATTGCTCTAGGTTCAATACCACAAGTAGAAGGGATTCATTTTGGGGGTAATTGCCCAAACGGCGTTCAGGAATTAGGGGCCAAATAGTTATCAAAGGTACCAGGCTTATAATTTGATACGCCAGACACGCGTTTCGTCTACATAAGACTCATCAGTGACGCTCAGATCAAAATAGTTAGAAAACCAAAACAATTACAAAGTTGAAGAGCATTGAGGACCCAAAATTCCAAAAAAGTTGTGCCTAATACGTCTAAGGTAATCTATGCCAAAAAGGGTCTAAAACAAGCATTTTTCTAAGACAATAACTTATGTTTAAGTGTATGGATGTCTCTGAAATTGTACCACATGGAATTAAAAAGAAAATTTCTTCAAATATTATTTTATTGGAGGGGAGGTAAAAAAAAATGTTTTTTTTTTGGGGGGGGGGGGGGGGGGGGGACAATTTTTTTTTCCTCAAGATTTAAGAAATTGTCAATTTTCCAAAGAAAAATTGGGGGTCACAATTTATTTTGCTTAGAAATTGTCAATTTTCCAAAGAAAAATTGGGGGTCATAATTTATTTTGCTAATGCTTTGTATAGTCTGAAAACAGATTTACTAATTATTGTGCAACAGCAAAGTGTATTGCAAGAAATCTTCAATTGAATATAAATTCAAATTATATAACCAATTTCAAGTTCTTTGACTACATTTATTCGGCGTCAGAAACCTACTATGTGTCAAATATTTAATTACAATCCAAATTCAGACCTGAATTAAGCTGGAATATTGTGTCCATTTTTGCCGCAACTGTTCAGGGTTGGACCTCTGCTGTCGTATCCAGCTGCGCTCGGCGAAGCAGTTTTTTTTTACCTATTATTGCTTAAGCACAGAATTTCTGCAGATTCGTTTTTATACATTTGTCAATGACACACAATTTATGGTGCATGTAGTCTGTCTGTCTACAAATGTTTCTAGTGTCCACAAATTATAGCTTTACTGTCGGAGTGAACCCAGTTGAAATGGTACGGAATTACAAGTCAACAAGTCAAGCACTGTTCAAACTTGGGGAAAAAAACAAACTGTACACAGTTTGACAAGCTCTTATTAAATATTTTAGTTTCATTATGCAAGATGACAAACATATGTTCAATCTTTTTTTTTATTAGTAAATTTTTGACTTTGACAGAATACAATCAACAAACATTTTAATTTTAATAACATTCACATTTTATTCAACATTCTTGTTCAAGTTTACTTCCATACATACTTTCACTTTCTATTTATTTTCACCATGGTAATATTGTGACGTGATTTATCACTTTCCTTTTTTTTACTTCAGCGCAATTTTCTGTATTGTTTTTTTATTCTAATGACTGTGCCTTAGGCACTGAAACCTGTCGATCTCATTAAATTGCTGCAGTGAAGAATCCCTAAAGTGTTGTTGTTATAACTGCTTTTACACAGCTTAACTTAGTTTAGAATGAAGATTTCATTTAGGAAGCAATAAACAGTTACAATTTTTTAGACTTGTGGTTTCAGACTATGAATTTTTGAAAAATTGAAAATATTGTGCAATAAAATTGAAATTACTGTAGTTTTTACATCAACTTTATATAAATGAAGAAAATGGGATGCAATTTTATGGAAAAATAAAGTGAAAAGTGAAAGTCATCTGATTTTTTTAAAAAACTTTTGTAGATACGTACATGTTAATGCTTTCAAGAAAAGGTATCTCTCAAAGGGATTTAATTCTACCTTGGACCATATTGAGGTGCCAAATATTACATTTCTGTTTCAATCTTTACAATTTTTATGTCCCACCTACGATAGTAGAGGGGCATTATGTTTTTCGGTCTGTGTGTCCGTTCATTCGTCCGTTCGTCCGTCTGTCCCGCTTCAGGTTAAAGTTTTTGGTCAAGGTAGTTTTTATACGTAGGACCGCAAAAGTCATATATTGGTATGACGTTGGCGTCGTCTTCGTCGTCCGAAGACACATTGGTTTTTCGCGCAATAATTTTAGTTTAAGTGAATGGATCTCTCTGAAATTTTAACATAAGGTTCAATACCACAAAAGGAAGGTTGGGATTGATTTTGGGGGAAATGGTACCAACAGTTAAGGAATTAGGGAAAAAAAGGGGGAAAAACAAGGGTTTCCTGGTTAATGGACAATTTAAAAGCAGTGTTAGGGAGGTAATCCAAAAACAAAATTGTACAATGTTGGAATACCTCCCTTACACTGCTTTTAAATTATCTATTTACGACTTTTATGATGTATTTAAATTTGTAATTATGGTTGCAAACTACATTGGAAATTTGAATTGAGATTATGACCATATCTTGAGGGAAAGAATTTTTTTTGAAAAAGGGGGGGGGGGGAGGGGGGTAAAAAAGAAATTGTAGGGTGGGGGGCAATTTTTTTTTCATTTCAGATTTCAGAAATATTTTTTTTTTTTGGCAAAAGGGTGGGTATGGGGTGGGGTGGGTCCATTCGCAACAGCATAGTGTATTGCACAAAAGCAAAAAATTGAATATAAATTCAAATCATATAACCAATTCTAAGTTCTTTGACTACAGTTATTCGGCGTCAGAAACCTACTATGTGTCAAATATTTAATTACAATCCAAATTCAGACCTGTATCAAGCGCGAATATTGTGTCCATTTTCGCCCCAACTGTTCAGGGTTGGACCTCTGCGTCGAGTCCAGCTGCGCTCAGCGCAGCATTTTATTGATGAAGTTGAAGTCCAATCAACTTGAAACTTTAAGTACACATGTTCCCTATGATATGATCTTTCTAATTTTAATGCCAAATTAGAGTTTTGACCCCAATTTCACGGTCCACTGAACATAGAAAATGATAGTACAAGTGGGGCATCCATGTACTATGGACACATTCTTGTTTTAAGTATAAAATTAGTTCTGTGTGGATGAAAATACATGTAAAAGAGTTCAAAAATGCAGACCATCTATAGATTTCACCTTAAGACATACTCTTCTCAAAGTATTTTTCATGTGGGTGCTTTGAATGTATTTTTTTTTATTCCAACATTTTCCTTTATTTGATAAAGCCCAATAATGATGCATTGAATAAAAATTTGGGAGCTTGATGAGAAATTTATGAAAATAATAGTTAAGTCACTGTTTTCTCCTTTGCCACTGATCAGTCTAAACATTAAAACCTAATACTGGGGATTCATTTATTTTCGTGGGTATCAATTTTCGTGGATGGAGGAAAACTTGCGTTTTCCTGGATATTTGATTTCCTGGTTTAGCAATCTCTGTATACAAGGCCTATATAAAATATGTAATTCGTTGAACATTTGAATTCCTGGTTCACCTGTACCCTCGAAACCCATGAAAACTGGTATCCAACAAATAATAATGAATCTACAGTACTATGTTTGTTCTTCCATGACATTGTGAAAGGTCAAGTTGTTTTCATTAAGCATAGCAATTTATGACTCAAATTAAATAGTTGACATGCATAAACCAGATGCTTCATATAATGTAATCAAGATGGTAAAACCAAAAAATATTATTGACAGGTTAACTTTAGATATGCCTATACATATTTTTTACATCAGATCCTGTGCATTGCCCAATCAACACCAATATTCATACAGCTTTTTGCTATTTGTCTGCCATTACTGTAGTCATCACAGTTCCCATGATATTATACATCATGATCAAATTAGAAAATATCTGATGCCATTGTGCAAACGTGAGTGTTGTATGTCCAAGGTCAAGAGTTGCAAAATTTCTGTTCAAATGTCACAGATTTCCTGGGATAAGGTCTATTATGAGTCATAAAAAGCAGATGCGGATCCAGGATTTGATAAAAGGGGGGCCCAAACTAGGTAATGTTAGAAGTGGAACATGTGAAAAATCTATGCATTAACCATATATGTAGCCCCATCAGGGGTGGCAAGGGTCCCAGCTGTCCCCACTTAATCTGCCTCTGAAAAGATAATTCAATTTCTTTCAAAATAAAAAAAAGTTGTGCAGGGCAGCACAATACCCTTTTCAATAGTAGATAAAACTAATTGTTCATTTACTGTAATAATATATTGATTAATCATTCAACAAGTCTTCTTTTTTGTTGACAAATCATTTTGATGGCCTTTTCATAACTATTTCAAATAACATATTCCACTCAAGGCTAATAATAATTATGTTTTTTAAGGTTCTTTAACCATTTATCAGCTATACAACAGTATGCTTGTATTGTCTCCTATAATTGATCATCATTAAATCTGTACTGTAATGTCTTCATCCTGAAGATAATCAATAAACAGTCTAAAGTCAGCTTCAGTTAACTTGATGAGATATTGTATGGAGTTAAACTTGGTTTATGTATTGTTGATGTAACACAATGTATATCAAGGGAATAAAAGGATTACATGTAATCATTGGGGGGTAATGAAATATATGGCATTCAATACTAAGGGAGACATTTCATGTAATCGTTTGGTGTTAATGAATATATATTGGCATTCAATTGTATGAGAGGCAGCCTATTTTATTGTTTTATTTTGGTTAAAATATTGTTGAATTACTGGCCATACTTCACAAATATTTTATGACAGCAGCCAGGCCTTATTAGTTTCAAGTCCATGAGTTGCTCACTACATGTTCCCAATGGATCAACTGGTTTACTAAATTTATTATTATTATACCTTACATATATGATAAACAATTCTATTGGGTAAAACGTTATCATGTGACATGGAATAATTCAGATAATTTTCATTAAAATGCAAGGAAGGACGAATAACCCTTCAAATGTACACCCAGCAATGAATAACCCTATTATTCACTGGTGAATAACCTTTTCAACTTCTTCATTTGTATGAGAGTAATCTCCCATCAAAATAATGTCATAGATGTATGTAAACAAAATGGCAACAGTCATGTTAGAAACCCATTGAGTGATGAGGAGACAAGGGTTGGAAATTCATCTAGTGCCGAGGATATCTCTCATAAACAGTCATTAACAGCACCATGAAAAAACCTTTTTGGGTTGACAATTTTGGATATGCACCTTTTCAAATGGCCATTTGTATAATATATATATATATATTGTGTTTGATGTTAGGTGCTAGTTTATTGAATATTTGCAGATAGAAAATAAAAAAATACGACTTGCTTGACCCAACTTTAAGATTAAAAAAATAGGTATATAGTTTTTGTCGAGCCTGCGACTTTTGTCGCAGAAAGCTCGACATAGGGATAGCGATCCGGCGGCGGCGGCGCGGCGGCGTTAGCTAACTTCTTAAAAGCTTTATATTTTAGAAGGTGGAAGGTCTGGATGCTTCATACTTTGTATATGGATGCCTCATGTTACGAAGTTTCCGTCAGTCACATGTCCAATGTCCTTGACCTCATTTTCATGGTTCAGTGACTACTTGAAAAAAAAGTTAAGATTTATTGTAATGTTAGATTCTCTCTTATTATAAGTAATAGGATAACTATATTTGGTATGTGCGTACCTTGCAAGGTCCTCATGCCCGTCAGACAGTTTTCACTTGACCTCGACCTCATTTCATGGATCAGTGAACAAGGTTAAGTTTTGGTGGTCAAGTCCATATCTCAGATACTATAAGCAATAGGTCTAGTATATTCGGTGTATGGAAGGACTGTAAGGTGTACATGTCCAACTGGCAGGTGTCATCTGACCTTGACCTCATTTTCATGGTTCAGTGGTTATAGTTAAGTTTTTGTGTTTTGGTCTGTTTTTCTTATACTGTATGCCATAGGTCTACTATATTTGGTGTATGGAATGATTGTAAGGTGTACATGTCTAGCGGGCAGGTGTCATCTGACCTTGACCTCATTTTCATGGTTCAGTGGTCAAAGTTAAGTTTTTGAGTTTTGGTCTTTTTTTCTAATACTATATGCAATAGTTCAACTATATTTGGTATGTGCGTACCTTGCAAGGTCCTCATGGCCGTCACACAGTTTTCACTTGACCTCGACCTCATTTCATGGATCAATGAACAAGGTTAAGTTTTGGTGGTCAAGTCCATATCTCAGATACTATAAGCAATAGGTCTAGTATATTCGGTGTATGGAAGGACTGTAAGTTGTACATGTCCAACTGGCAGGTGTCATCTGACCTTGACCTCATTTTCATGGTTCAGTGGTCAAAGTTAAGTTTTTGAGTTTTGGTCTTTTTTTCTAATACTTTATGAATAGGTCTACTATATTTGGTGTATGGAAATATTTTATGATGTACCTGTCAGTCTTGCAGGTTTTATTTGACCTTGACCTCATTTTCACGGTTCATTGCTCAGTGTTAAGTTTTTGTGTTTTGGTCTGTTTTTCTAATACTATAAGCAATAGGTCAACTATATTTGTTGTATGGAAGGTTTGCAAGCTGTAGTACATGTCTGCCTGGCATTGTTCATCTGACCTTGACCTCATTTTCTTGGTTCATTGGTCAATGTTTAGTTTTCTTGGTTAAGTCTGTATCTTAGAAACTATAAACAATAGGTCAACTATATTTAGTGTATTGAATGATTGTAAGGTGTACATGTATTTCTTGTTTGGTTTATATGACCTTGACCTCATTTTCTTGGATCATGTTAAGTGTATGTGATAGTTGTAGTAAAGCTTTAAATTTAGGACTATCAACATTATATCAATGATTAGTAAAGAAGGCGAGACATTTCAGTGTGTGCACTCTTGTATTATACTTCACATCAAAATGCCAGATTTTGATTGGTTAATAAGAGGGAGACAATTTACTCTATCCCATGGCAAATACTCTATTACCCTTCACAGAGACGCTTGCTCAAGTTTGCGCTTTAATAAATACGGATGGTTGTTATGTACAAGACGTCATAGTTTATTACTTTGAATTTGAAATTTAATAGACAGTAATAACAGAACATTCAGTATAATAAATTAAATAACACATATCTGAGAGGGTGATAGAGTAGATTGTTACCCCTCGAAAAGACATTGTCAATTTGGCTTTGCCTCAGTTGACAATGTTTTCTAGGGGTAACAATCTGCTCTATCACCCTCTCAGCTATGTGTTATTTATATAGTGTGACCCTAATGTCTTCTCCAGTAATTATCATACAAAGAAGGTACAATGTCTCATTGATAGTGTGGCAGGATGTTTTATAGAATACATATATCAGTTGTTGATCAACAATTCAGGGTTTGTTATTGGTTGCTGTCTGTTATGTTTGTTTTACGTTAATTTTGTTGTCTTAAATCAAGTTGAAAATTTTCGTCAGATTTTTCTCAGGAACTACATTGTAAGGATTTCTGAAATTTGGTTTCAGTGTTTATATAAGTCAGCTATACCGTGTGATGTGTTTTCAGATTCATCACTCAACAACTTCCTGTTTACCATCAAGTATTTGGGCTGGGGGTATCATCAGTGAGCAGTAGCTCGAAGTTTCACTTGTTTTAATTGTTTTGTCATGTTGGGGCCTTTTATATCTGACTATACAGGTATGGGTTCTGCTCGTTGTTGAATATATGGCAAGTTCACCCAAAGTTTCTTACATCCAGGTCATTTTTACTCTGGTGGATAGTTGTGTAATTGTAGAATGGTTCATTACAAAATTCTTGTCCATTTGTTTTCCTCAATTGCTGATCTGTGTAGGAGACGTACTTTTACATTGTACGTCTTTACTTTATAAAGTCCTCAAAGACATTGCTACAAAATCATTCAGTTTCTAATTATCTTGTTGTTGAATTGTAAATGCTCCTCATATCAAAAGTTATTGAATACAGATTTTAATCGTTAATTGTTCCAACAGAATTTAATTTAATCTTAATTTATAAGTAAACAAATTCATATTAAGTTTTGTATTTATTTTCAGTCTTTTGAAAGGTGCTGAAGAACTAGGCATCAGGAAACCACTGAAGGAAGAATATGGAGGTGGAATGAAAGAATTTAATTATGAGGACCAGGAATGTTTTTCTGGAGTCAATGCTTCAGAGTTCTTTAGTAGTCAGGAACGACAGAGTATTATCCATTACATGTTAAATAATTTGAGGGCCAATGAAGGAGAAAGTCTGGGAAACATAACATTTTTAGAAGGGCAGTCTATAAGTAAGCAATAGAAAAAGAAAGCCTTACGTTTGAGAGATTGTCTGATTTAAAGTTTTTCTTGGAGGACTAGTAAGAGCTATAGAATTATAATCTAAATAATGTCCAAGACCTGCCCTGCTGCTTCATCTTATGACTAATATATATACTTTCTATAGATGGAAGGGAAGACATTTGTCTAAGGCAACTAAAACATTTCCACCTAGTTTTAGTAAGAATTTTTATAGAAGAAATTATTTTGACTAAAGTTTAAATTTTTATATAAATTGTGGGCCCTATGCAGTATGCATATACTCTTCCTAAGAGAATTTGTTTGATAAATGGGCATGTTATTATAGAACGCCTTCCATACATTTATAGATAATTGCTCTGTGAGAGCTGTATGATTCCTAGAAATTGCAGACAGCTATTAAGGGATAACAAAAAATATTCTCAGAAGTTTTCAGTATCACAGGAATGGAATATCTTTTTCTAATTCATTATATCAGTACATATAATTTTGTGCACTACAGCATGTACAGTATGTTAAAAAGATATACTTTGTTTTATTTCAGTTCCACTTTTAGAAACGGAGCAAGTCATATCCCAAGTCTTCCCACTTCACAGTACAGATGATCTGATGGAATTAAGAGAAACTTGGATGCAGAAATTTTTCAGCAAGCAACCTCTTGGTAAAAAATGGATATTCTTATATAAGATTGTATTTGTATGTGAAATTAAGTCAAACTGAAAAATGTAATTTTAACAGTACATTCAGATATACTCCTCAAAGAAGGTTTTGTCCTTGAATTGCATTTTTATGCCCACACCATAGCGGAGGGTCATTAAGTCTTACCATTGTCCGTCTGTCTGTACGTCCCAAAGTTGGTTTCCGTTCTCTAACTTTAGTTTGCCTCAACCAAATGTTTTGAAACTTATACAAAATGTTTATTACCACAAAATACAGATCAAGTTTGAATTTTGGTAGCATCACTTCAACCGTTCTAGAGAAATGCCCCTTTACAAATGGAAAAATTGCTGAATTTTTCGTTTCCGTTCTCTAACTTTAGTCTGTTCTCTAACTTAAGATAGCCTCAACCAAATGTTATGAAACTTATACAAAATGCTTATTACCACAAAATACAGATAAAGTTTGAATTTTGGTGGTGTAACTTTTACTGTTCTAGAGTTATGCCCCTTTACAAATGGAAAAATTGCTGAATTTTTCGTTTCCGTTCTCTAACTTTAGTTTGCCTTATCAAATGTTATGAAACTTATACACAATGCTTATTATCTTAAAATACAGATCAAATTTGAATTTTGGTGGTGTAACTTTAACCGTTCTAGAGTTATGCCCCTTTACAAATGGAAAAATTGCTAAATTTTTCGTTTCTGTTCTCTAACTTAAGATAGCCTCAACCAAATGTTATGAAACTTATACACAATACTTATTACCACAAAACTCAGATCAAGTACAAATTTGGGTAGTGTCACTTTTACCGTTCTTCAGTTATGTCCCTTTATAACTTTATATGATATGGAAGCGGGGGCATCATCTGTGTCCCATGGACACATTCCCCATTTATTTTGTGTGTGTTTTTGGCTTTTTTGTTTTAAACCACAATAATAAGCATGTAACACACATAAATTCAACCACTAATTTAATTGTCAATTATTTTTATCTACACCCATATAAGCTCAGGAATGATAAGAGGGAGTGCCTTTGGTAAAAACCAGGAATTATTTTAGAGAGTTTTAAAAGATGCAAAAGTTACAGTTTATGGAAAGTAACTAAGGTTTTGATTGATGTAGAATATTAATAAAGGAGATGCTGGATAGACGTCAATGAGACAGCACTGAAGTAACACTTATAGGCTGTGTTTGGATATACGCCTAAGGCAGCCTATGGTTACCCATAGGTATCTTTGGGTACCCATGGTTTGATATTTTGATATATAGAATATCAAACCAAAGGTACCTATGGATAACCATAGGCCACCTCTGGCGTATATCCAAACACAGCCATAACTAAAAAACATCAAATCATAATTCCATGACAAAATAATTACAGAAAAATGAAATGTAAAAATTGTCCAATTGTAAAGTGTTTGCTTTAAATGTAAATGTCCCGTATGTTTGAAGTTAGAATGGGACGAATCACAACAATCGAGTTGGGTTATTATATTAGGGCTGTGTTTGGATATACGCCTAAGGCAGCCTATGGTTACCCATAGGTATCTTTGGGTACCAATGGTTTGATATTTTGATATATATAGAATATCAAACCAAAGGTACCTATGGATAACCAAAGGCCACCTCTGGCGTATATCCAAACACAGCCACAGTCAGATATTAAATGCACCATACAAACACTGTGGCTGTGTTTGGATATGCGCCTAAGGCAGCCTATGGTTACCCATAGGTATCTTTGGGTACCCATGGTTTGATATTTTGATATATAAAATATCAAACCAAAGGTACCTATGGATAACCATAGGCCACCTCTGGCGTATATCCAAACACAGCCTGTGTCTTTGGTCAGGTACTTGACGACTGGGTTGGCCTAAAGTTTTTCTGGCTGTGTTTGGATATACGCCAGAGGTGGCCTATGGTTATCCATAGGTACCTTTGGTTTGGTATTCTATATATCAAAATATCAAACCATGGGTACCCAAAGATACCTATGGGTAACCATAGGCTGCCTTAGGCGTATATCCAAACACAGCCTCTCATTCTTTTGAATCAGTTGCTTTTCTCTTGTAAAACAAAACACCATATTTTCCTCATAAAGTTACACAGTTATTATTTCCTGAAATATTTGAAATGAAGGATGAAGTTCCACTTAATGTGGACTATATTGGAACCTGATGTTCAGTAGTTGTCGTTTGTTGATGTGGTTCATAAGTGTTTCTCGTTTCTGTTTTTTATATAGATTAGACCGTTGGTTTTCCCATTTGAATGGTTTTACACTAGTAATTTTTGGGGCCCTTTATAGCTTGCTGTTCGGTGTGAGCCAAGGCTCTTTGTTGAAGACCGTACTTTGACCTATAATGGTTTACTTTTATAAATTTTGACCTGGAGGGAGAGTTGTCTCATTGACACTCATACCACATCTTGTTATATCTATTTACACTTAAACTGAATATTTTTATTTGAGGCCTCCCATTTCAGACAATGATGCATGAAGTTTAACTTTCATTTTTTATGCTAAACTACTTCCAAAATTTCATAGTCCTGCCCCCTAATTTTAACTGAATACAAATGTTGATAACAAGACTTGAAGTATTAAAATGCAGTAAAACTTATTTTATACATAAAATGTTTGAAAGTATAAGAATAATCAGCATTTAGTGTTAAATATGTACCCTTTGTATGTCCCTCAATATAACTATCAGTGTTAAATATGTACCCTTTGTATGTCCCTCAATATAACTATCAGTGTTAAATATGTACCCTTTGTATGTCCCTCAATATAACTATCAGTGTTAAATATGTACCCTTTGTATGTCCCTCAATATAACTATCAGTGTTAAATATGTACCCTTTGTATGTTCCTCAATATAACATTCAGTGTTAAATATGTACCATTTGTATGTCCCTCATATCACATCTTCTTATTTTATAATTGGTGATTGTAAAACAATGCTCAGGAACCCGAGATGAATGAACAAGTGAATTTACGTCGCCCATTCAGTTTTGGTGTTCATTCTAAGTAAATGAATTGCAAAATGCTACAATATGGGAAAATGACACATGAATTAACTTGATGAAATTTATAAAAAGGAATATAGATTCCAAGCAAACAATACATAGAAATTTAATATAACTCTTCTTGTAATTGATATGCATCAAGCTATTTTTGCATAGATTTTTCACTCATATTATCAATATGAAATTTCTAAATTAATTTGTTTTCTTGTTTGAACCATTTCCTACATCGTTTATTGATGTTTAAAAGATGGTTATTGCAAACCTAGAAATTAATGTGATGTTTTTGTTAATATAAAACTAGATTCAGATCACATTTAAAACTGACATTTTTATTGCAATTGTGCATATTTCTGTAAAAAATCTATCAGAGTGTTATTTCATCTGTTAGCTTTTTGATAATTTTCATTAAGGAACACATATGAATAAAAGGAGACATTTGATACTTCAATAAGACAGTTATTCAATGACAAATAAAAAACAAAGCAAAAACAAAGCATAACAGAAAAGAATATTTACATTACAGTAAACCTTTAAAGATTAGAATTTTTAAACATACCTCATTTGTACCAGTATATAGTATACATATAAATTAAGTACAGTAAAAATAAATTAACAGAGGAATAATATTATTTTGTCCTTGACAATACTATGCGTAAATTTTGTAATTGCAATGTATTTTCATTACTCAAAGGGACAAATCAGTAGATTTTTTTTATCCAGAAAAAGAGTTATGTAATAAGGTTTAACTATAACATAAATACTGGTAGAGATGTTAAAATTTTGACTATGAGTTTATTAATAGGTATTATTAAGGGTTCATTTATTTTGAAAGTAAAGATTTCTTTTTATATTTGTTTGTACTTTGCATGTAGAAATTGCTATGTATATATTTATTTTTCATACAGATAAGATTTGTAATTATTTTGGAGTAAAGATTGCAATGTATTTTGCTTACCTTGGACATTACACTGTAGCATTGTGTCTACCAGCACTTATTGGGTTTCTCATCTGGTTCATCCAGGGGGAAGATGAGGTTCGTATCTTAAGGATATTAATTTAAACTGGAATCTTCTATAAATGCTTATTTCGTAATTTTTTGGTACCTATGGAAACATGAAAAACAGTAAAATAGAAAGACCTTATTGATATTAAAGTATATTATAAGTTATATGGTTTGCTACTGATCCCCTACAGACCCTCTACAGATCTGTAGGGAGTCAGTTGTGAACTGTATAACAAATTTATTGCATGCAGACTTTTTCTGCTAAGTTTTGTGTAAAAATAAACAATGAAATACAAGAACATTAATAAATGACATCACCATTAATAGTAGATGTGACATCATGAACTAACATGAAATCTACTGACCCCATACAGATCCATAGGTGGTCACCAAAGTGACAGCAATAAACCAATCATAACATCAGTTATTTACCCCCAGGTGTGATAAATTATAAAATGAATTCTGCTACCTGCTGATTAGTTGCAACCTACAAATTCTTGTTAATTGAATGATACAGTATTAATGAATTATAGTGTAACCATTGTAAACAACTAGTGGACCAAGTCACTGAACAGCCTTCAACAATGAGCAAGACCAAAACTTAAACTCATACCCAATAGTTAGTCATAAAAGGCCTGGATATAGCAAACCTACCATGGAACCATTAGACTATTAACTTAACTTAGCTTGAATCATTAGATTGTGATTATACCCTGTTTTACATTCTACTGTGAATGTTAGAATAAGTAAGATCATCACTAATGAAGGTCATTTGTTGCTCCAAAATGTCTGTCTTTTTATATGATTCCATTTCATCTCATTCATATACCGGGTATTCATATATATCTTTTATCAGTATTGTTGTCCAAATATTTAAAACAAATTGTAAACCTTGCAACCTGTTAGTTAATTTTCCTGAATTTGCATAATTTCCAGTGCTTCTTTTAAGCTAATGGTAGAATGTAAATATGATTTCATTTTGTTGGTAGGGAGCAGATGACTTGGATTTATTAATATTTGCCTTATTTAATGCTATATGGGCTACATTGTACTTAGAGCACTGGAAAAGGAGAAGTTCTAAGCTGGCATATGACTGGGGAACATTAGATAAAAAGGATGAATTATTAGAAGATCCAAGACCATTGTTTACAGTAAGTAGAGCATGCAACTTTCACTGATATAAAGAGTTTGTTTCTTACTCCAAGTATCATAAAAACAGTAGAATAAAATTGACAAGGACATCATTTTCTCGTTGATATAAAAAAAAATAACTAGTCTGCAACCAGCCATCATTTGTCTTTTAAAAAAGTGAAATATATGATATGATAGTTGGAATGTTTTAAAGAAATCAGTGATCTATATTGTATTGCAGTAAAAAAAAAAACTCTTTACTAATTTGTACTCTAACAGTGAAAAACTAGAGAAAATGACTTGACATCCTTCACTTTCCTTCTCTGACTATAATGTGGTAACAATACACACATTGATAGAATTTATTTATTTAATTTTTATACGACCGCAACAAAATTTTTGTGGTCATATATTGGTATGACGTCGGCGGCGTCGTCATCGTCGTTGTCGTCGTCCGAAGACACATTTGTTTTCGCACTCTAACTTAAGTTTAAGTGAATGGATCTCTATGAAATTTTACCACAAGGTTCAATACCACAAAAGGAAGGTTGGGATTGATTTTGGGGGTTATGGTACCAACAGTAAAGGAATTAGGGCCAAAAAGGGGCCAAAAATAAGCATTTTTGTAACTTCCAGACATAACTTGTGTGTTAGTGTATGGATCTCTCTGACATTGTACCACAAGGTTCCATATCACAAAAGGAATGCTGGGATTGATTTTGGGGGTAATTGCCTCAAAATTTTAGGAATTAGGAGCCAAAAAAGGGGCAAAAAACAAGCATTTTTCTAGTTTCATGACAATAACTTGTGTGTAAGTGTATGGATCTTTCTGAAATTGTACTACAAGGTTCCATATCACAAAGGGAAAGCTGGAATTGAGTTTGGGGGTAATTGCTGAAACGTTTAGGAATTGGGGGCCAAAAAGGGGCCAAAAATAAGCATTTTTCTAGTTTCCAGACAATAACTTGTGTACAAGTGTATGGATCTCACTGAAATTGTACTGCAAGGTACCATACCACAAAGGGAAGGCTGGGATTGATGATGGGGGTAATTGCCTCAATATTTTAGGAATTTGGGGCCAAGAAGGGGCCAAAAAACACATTTTTCTAGTTTCCAGACAATAACTTGTGTTCAAGTGTATGGATCTCTCTGAAATTGTACTGCAAGGTACCATACCACAAAGGGAAGGCTGGGATTGAGTTTGGGGGTGATGAATCATAAGGGGGTTCAAAAAATTTGGGGGGGGGGGGGGGGGATTTTTTTTTTTTTTTCCTTTTTTTTTTCTTTTAAAATTTTCCATTTTAAGTTGGTTATTTCTGATTTATATTTAAAAGCAAATAATAATGATAATGTAGGAGATACACACCAAACAGGATGTGTAAATTATTATATAATAAGTATTGTGCAATAGCAAGAAATTTTCAATTGCACAGTATTGCACAATAGCAAGAAATCTTCAGTTGCACAGTATTGCGCAATAGCAAGAAGTCTTCAATTGCACAGTATTGCGCAATAGCAAGAAATATCTAATAGCACAATATTGCGCAATAGCAAGAAATTGTCAATTGTACAGTATTGCGCAATAGCAAGAAATATTTAATTGCACAGTATTGTGCAAAAGAAGATACTTCGTATAAATTGCTTATTTCTTGACCAATTTCAATGGGGTTTTATTCTTGAATTCTTGGGGTTCTTTAATATGCTGAATCTAACCGTGTATTTAGTTTTTGGATTTTGGGACTCGTTTTTAAATTGGTCCACATTGAGATCCAAAGGGTCCAAAATTAAACTTTGTTTGATTTCATCAAAAATTGAATTATTGGGGTTCTTTGATATGCCGAATCTAACCGTGTATTTAGATTCTTAATTTTTGGTTCCGTTTTCAAATTGGTCTACATTAAGGTCCAAAGGGTCCAAAATTAAACTTAGTTTGATTTTAACAAAAATTGAATTCTTAGGGTTCTTTGATATGCTGAATCTAAACATGTATTTAGATTTTTGATTATGGGCCCAGTTTTCAAGTTGGTCCAAATCGGGGTCCAAAATTAAACTTTGTTTGATTTCAACAAAAATTGAATATATGGGGTTCTTTGATATGCTGAATCTAACCATGTATTTAGATTTTTGGGCCCCGTTATCAACTTTGTCCACATTGAGGTCAAAAGGGTCAAAAATTAAAATTTGTTTGATTTCATCAAAAATTGAATTCTTGGGGTTCTTTGATATGCTGAATCTAACCATGTATTTAGATTTTGAATATTGGACCATAATAGGTGAATTTCCAATTTAAAATTTTTAAGTTCTTAGACCACATTCATTCTGTGTCAGAAACCTATGCTGTGTCAAATATTTAATCACAATCCAAATGCAAAGCTGTATCAAGCTTGAATACTTGCCCCAACTGTTCAGGGTTCGACCTCTGCGGTCGTATCAAGCTGCGCCCTGCGGAGCATTTTATTATATTTCATTAACAATATCCAATTTATATTTTTAAAGGGAGACCTAAGAGAAAGTCCAGTTACAGGCAGACTAGAACCATATTACCCTCAGTGGAAGAGGAATTTATTTCGTTATTTTGTTTCCCTGCCTGTGGTCCTTCTCTGTTTATTGGTTGTCTTTGTGGTGATGTTGCTGATCTTCCAGTTCCAGGAATGGATCAACAGGAAAGTTGCTGTAGACAGTTACCCAGGATTCCTTACTGTCATTCCTAAGATTTTATTGGCTATATGTATTGGAATATCTGATGAGATTTACAAGAAGATAGCCTTTTGGTTAAATGATATGGGTATGACAGAAATTTATTTTTTTACAGTATGTGTTCCTAAATTTTTTGTCTCTCTCCGCAACACAGAATAGGTGACATAGAAATGTCCTGTGTCCTTTTGTTTGACCTTGTGAGCACTCTCATATTTTTAGTTTTTTATGGTTTTTGGTGAAATTCATGCAAAAAGTGTAAATAAGCTATATCTCCATCAAATTAAAAAAAGCATTATTATGGGAGTAATGCTCCTTCATAATATAAATTTGAAAAATGGTTAAGTGAGCTTATCTTAATAATTGTTAACTAAGATTATCTATTTAATGGTTAACTGGGATTGTCTAATTAATGGTAAACTAGGTTTATCTAATTAATGGTTAACTGAGATTATCTAACTAATAGTTAGGTTAGTTTGAATTATCCAATTAATGGTTAACTGAAATTATCTATGGTTCAATGAGATTATCTAACCTAATGGTAACTGAGATTATCTAACTAATGGTAAACTGAGATTATCTCATTAATGGTTGAATGTGATTATCTAATTAATGGTTAACTGAGATTATCTAATTAATGGTTAACTGAGATTATCTAATTAATGGTTAACTGAGATTATCTAATTAATGGTTATCTAAGATTATCTACCTAATGGTTTATTTGTATTAAAGAAAACTACAGAATGGATGAAGCCTACGAAAATCATCTCATTACAAAACTAGCAACTGTAAGTATAGTATTTTAAAAACAAAGATGACCAAAACAATGAACTTGTAATGTAAATTCAATATATACTTCTTTAAAGATAGTCAGAAAAAAAAGGACTGATTGATTGAAACAAGTTTTACATATTAATGAATGATCTTAAGTAAGTAATCCACGCATGCAAGTTCTTGGCATTCAGCATCAAAATTGGCCCTCATAAAAATGTTGTGTTTAGATGACGGGAAAACCTAATTATTAATTTCTGAATCATGTAATACTTTTATTATTGTGAAAAATTGGGCCAAATTTAATAAAAAAGTTAGTTATTCTCATTATTTGTTATCTGTCGTCAATCCGGCAAAATTGATAAGAATGTCAAGATCTACCTACTATTCATTTTGACCAAAATTGTCAGATTGCCTCCTAAAAGGAGTGACTATTGGTAATAGATTAATTACATTTTTTTTTTCAAATCTGTTTACTTGCCAGGTTATCACTGGTAAATAATTTGTTTAGATTTATTACTGTGACTTGACTGTAAGTGTTGCTCGCCACCTATTGCAATTTTTTTAAAATTCTGTCTTAATTGCAATTTATTTTATCAAACGAAGCTGTAGAAAAACACAGTCAAGTGGTGAAAGTGCAAGGCGATAAAATACAGCATACTTACAATTCTATAAGACTTTAATTCCACTTCATTGATATTATGAGAAATTTGTCTAACAATTTCTAAACAAGTTTTATTGTAAATGTCATGCTAAAGGTGATTGGTAGTAATTTTTGAATTGCTATAAAAATGTCATAACTAAGCTTTCATACAATTTTGTTTTTGAAAAGTCTTCTATACTCATAAAAATCAGACATCATTTGAATTAAAACATCTTATATTCAGTAAAATAAATGTGAAATTACACTACGTTGTTAATAAGTTGCCATGGGAGGTAATCTAAAATTATTGATCTTTTGAAGTATTGATTTTATCTCCCTTTAAAACTTCAAGAGGATATATTTAAGCTTCAAGTATATTTCAACAAGTATTTTAGAGATTAATTCAAAGAAAGCTTTGTAGCATGCATAGAAAAACACCATTTTATTAGAAACTGTTAAAAAACTTAAATTTGGACATTTTTTTAGCAATTGAAAAATGACTACCTATCACCCTTTGCATGACCTTTGCATGACAAGTACAATAAAATATGTATAGAAATTGTTAGACTGATTATTCATAATATATATTATCATTGAAGTGAAATCAAAATCTGATAGGATTGTAAGTATGCTTTATTTTACCACCTTGCCCTTTCACCACTTGACTGTGTTTTTCTACAGCAGTTTATTAAAATTTCTGACCAGTTGAACAGTTTGGTTTGATAAAACAAATTGCAATTTGGTCAGAATTTTGAATAAACTGCAATAGTTGGAAAACAACACATGCAGTCACAGTAATATTATTTTGTTTTAGTTTCAGTTTGTGAATTCTTTTCTGTCACTGTTTTACATTGCCTTTTACCTACAAGACATGGATAGACTCAGAGATGTAAGTGTATTCTATTTTAAATGATTAAATACTTTCCTTAAAGGTCTTACATAATTATGTAACATCTTTAACAGTTATTCTTTTGAAGGGCATTTTGCATGACTTTTACAATGTATCTTCCATCGTAATTATAAAAGATGTACTAACATATGATAATGAAACAGTATATGTTGTAGTAAAGATCATCCGTGTGATGACTCATTAAATGAGTTTTTTTCCAGGCTCTAATAAATGATATTTTATAATGTCATTTATACTAAGAGAGTGATGGCTGAACTCTGGGGAAGTGTTCTGAAATGATAGATATAACTAGTTTGCTGATGTACAAATTAAATACTGTAGCTTTGGGAACACTTTTGATATAATTTGCAGTTTAGCATATTGAACTCTTTTCCATTATTTTATTTGCAATAAATGTCAGTTTTACATCACACAAATGAATGTTTTTATTGTATGAATAGCAGAGGACAATCATAAAGTGACAGTCTTTAATTTTTTTTTTACTTTTTAATTTAATATCAGAATGAGTACAAATATTTCCTTTACAGCTTTTAATGGAAATGTTATTCAGACCATTTTCATTGATAGGAGATCTTAGTCTCTATCCAAATTTTACCATTAAAGTTTATTTAACTATTTTGCAAAGTTTTATATGCTCATATCTTTAGCTAAAATGAAGTTGAGATCTGTATAGGTGAAAAAGAAAATATTAAGCGATTTTTTTTTAAAGTTTAATAGTGGTTTGTATTCTGACAATTAAAAAAAACTCAGTATTTTATTTATTGGTAGAAATCTCTAATAGGAAATGACTTGAATATGTTTTGTAGCAATTGGCAGCTATTTTGATAACAAGACAAATATTGGGAAATATCAAAGAAGCTCTGTTACCATATCTACAATGGCAAGCAAGACTTTGTAAAGTTGGTTATGAAATGGTCAGTGACCTCTCTCCTGGCAATTCTTTTAAGGGAGACAATTCTGTGGTAAAAGATCTTCAAGATGAGCCCTCAGAAGGATCAGAATTAAAAAAACGGTCAGTCACCTTTCAGGAAAGCTCAAAGGAAGAAAATGTAGATTATCCAAAACGAAAACCAGGAGATAGAAGACACAGTATCTATGTTAAAAGAAGTTTAAAATTAACACAGGCTGAAGTTGAAAGTGAAATGAAAAAGGTGAAAAATTATTTCTTTTATATCTGTTTATATATATATATACTGGAATCTCTTTTATAAATAATTGGAATGATCCATTTTATATGAAAGTGATTTAATTTTTGTGGATGCTTTTAAAAGTACCTTAGCTGTCCAAATTCTTTAATAATATTAACAAATAAATGTTTTAATATATTTGAATTTAAACAAATAAGCAGATTTTTATTACTATTTGAAGAATTTAATCCTATTATAAGAAAAAAAGTCAGAGTGTTTAATTGTCTTAAGATTTTAAGGGGTTAGTGGACAGGGAGATTTTTCAAAACATTAAAAAGAAATTTTAATCTGACAAGTTTACTTATTCAAATTCAAAATTTATTCACATTCTTCAAGCATATAAAATTTATTCAATCAAATATAACATCTGACTGAAATAATTATACTTTTTTCATTTCAAACATTTCAATGATAATTGAACCAAATGGATTGGTTAATAGGCACAGTGCCTATGATAATCCTCTCCAATAACAAGACATTTACAAAATACAAAACATCTGCATGGTCAGGTCAACCTAAAAAATGAATCCAGAGATAAACATACTACTGTATATATGGAAATTTTTTGCTATAATTGAGGTTGTCATCTTACCACAAAATTTACCCTACATGAACATTTCTTTCACTGTCCATTTGAAAGCATTGAAGAAGGCATTAACAAGCAAACAATGAACACAGCTAAGATTTAGCTGATTTTTTTAAGACCTAATCCATGAACAAAACCAGAGGTGTAAATAATCTGATATACAATGTTTTACAGCATTTTTGTTTGTAGTTGATAGAAATCTTACTCTTATATTTACTCACAATATTCTCCAATTTGTATATTATCAGTACTTCTCTTGTGAGTATGAATTTCTAATTATTTTTTTTACAGTATGAAGACACTTTAGAAGACCATTTAGAAATGTTGATACAGTTTGGATATGTGACATTATTTTCCTCAGCATTTCCTTTGGCAGCCTTGTGTGCTTTGTTAAACAATATCATAGAAATCCGTAGTGATGCATTTAAACTGTGTATGCATCATCAGAGACCATTTGGCAAGAGTGTAGAGAGTATTGGTACTTGGCAGGTAATTATGTTCGATGTCAAAAGGACAAAACTGAAGCTCTATACTGTAAATTCAGAAATTTTGGGATGTTTTGATTACTGTAAACCAACTAATGATGGTGCAGTTGTGTGCATTTTATTTTTGTGATGTTTGCAATTTGAAAAGTAATGCAAAATTAACTTGTCAGTTTCCTTTATATATCAAGATAAATTATAACAGCACTAAAACAAATCACTGCAAAGTTGTCTAGGAAGGTTAAAGTAACTACGACAACAAGTTGGTTTGCAGTATTGTGATGGGACAAGTTTCGCAAAAATATAACCTTGCATTTTTTAAAACTTAATAGCATTATTTTATGCAGTATTTCTTGAAATTGTAATAAGTTATCTCACATTTTTGTCCATTGTTGAACAATTGCAATAACAAAAACACACAGAAATTTCTGAATTTTCAGTGTTCTGAATCACATGAGTCAATCTTACCTATATATTATGAAATAGGGAATTGAAGTCTATTGTAAATATATATATATATGCACACTACATTTGAACAATATAAAATATATTTAGAATAATTCATCTAACAGACACAGAACAGTCAAAACTAAAAAAAGACAACTAAACAAAGGAAATTAATCTAGAACAAATAATTTCATCAATGACGTGGAGTTAAACTCTTTACTTACAAAATCTGCTTGTATTTATTTCAGGGTTCTAACACTACCTATAAAGTAGAAATAGCCTACAAATGCTCATAAAATTTGCAAAAAATGCAAAAATTCCTGGAAAAACCATTCAGACACATGTTTTATATTTGAAGTTATTTCCCTTTCCAAATTAAGTGTCACATCGAGAATTACTTGTTTAATCTTTGAACTTTTCTGAGAAGCATGTTTTTTATGCCTATGCTTATAGCCCGAAGTTATTGACCAGAACTTATGAATTTGGAGTGTTTGTAAAAAAGGTCGTTTGTAACAGTTCCCAACTTTATTGTCCAACAGTCAAAAGTTACTTATGGTTTCTTCATCTATATCTTTTGATACCATCCTTCAAAATTGATGAATGTCCATGAGAAATTATGGAGAAACCATGAAATGTTTTTACCTAAAAGACTAGAAACCTTTTTATTTACATATTTCATTATACATTGTATATGACCTTTTATTGATTAACTGTATGAAATATTAAAGGATGCTTTGGAACTAATGGGAATAATAGCTGTTGGTGTGAACTGTGCTCTGATTGGTGTAAGTGGACAAATTGGCCGTCTGCTTCCTGTGACAGAACTGTCAACAACTATAATTATCATCGTTGCTTTAGAGGTATGTTACCCTTGCTTTTAATGCTTTAAATTGTCAACCAGACCATTTGTTAAAATATCTAACAGCACAAATAACCATGATTATTGATCATGACTATATACCATTGGTTAAGATTGACAAATAGAACTTTTTTGTGTCGTAAAATTTTTTGCGTTGTATAATGCTATGATGTCGCCGTCGTCCGAAGACACATTTGGTTTCCGGACAATAGCTTTAGTTTAAGTGAATGGATCTCTATGAATTTTTACCAGAAGGTTTAATACCACAAAAGGAAGGTTGGGATTGATTTTTGGGGTGATGGTACCAACAGTTCAGGAATAAGGGGCCAATAACAAGCATTTTTGTAGTTTCCGGACAATAATTTGTATGTAAGTGTATGTATCTCTCTGAAATTGTACCACAAGGTTCCATATCACAAAGGGAAGGCTGGGATTGCGTTTGGGGTTATTTGCCCCAAATGTTCAGGAATTAGGGCCAAAAAGGGGCCAAAATCAAGCATTTTTCTAGTTTCCAGACAAGAACAATAAAAAAGGCTGGGATTGAGTTTGGGGGTAATTACTCCAAAAGGGGGGGGGGTCATTTTTTTTCTTCAAAATTTTTGAAATTACAAATTTTTGAAATCTTCAATTTCACAGTATTGCGCAATAGCAAGAAATCTTCAATTGCACAGTATTGTACAATAGCACAGTATTGGACAAAAGCAAGAAATCTTCAATTGCACAGTATTGCACAATAGCACAGTATTTTGCAATAGCAACAAATCTTCAATTGCACAGTATTGTGCAATAGCACAGTATTGTGCAATATCACAGTATTGCGCAAGAGCAAGAAATCTTCAATTGCACAGTATTGCACAATAGCACAGTATTGCACAAATAGGAAGAAATCTTCAATTGCACAGTATTGTGCAATAGCAAGAAATCTTCAATTGCACAGTATTGGGCAATAGCACAGTATTGCACAATAGCAAGAAATCTTCAATTGCACAGTATTGCGCAATAAAGAAATCTTCAATTGAAAACAAATACAAATGTTTTAACCAATTTCAATGGGATTAATTAAGTCTTTAATTTTTGGGGGTTCTAACCTTGTATAATTTGTTTTTGATATTGGGCCCATTTTTAAATTGGTTAACATTGAGGTCAAAAGGGTCAAAAATTAAACTTTGTTTGATTTCATCAAAAAACTGAATTATTGTGGCTGTATGATTTGCTGAATCTTATTGTGCATTTAGATTTTTATTTTGGGCCCTGTTTTCAAATTAGTTCATATTAAGGTTTGAATTGTCCAAAACTAAACTTTGTTTGATTTCAACTAAAATTATATTATGGGTGTTTTTTTATATGCTGAAATAAAATGAGATGTGTTGTGACATGATTAACCAAATAATATTTTTTTTTTCAGCATGTCATTTTAGCTTTAAAATTATTAATAGCCTATGCCATTCCTGATGTACCTGAAGCCATTGCTACCAAAAAAGCAAAATTAGAATTTCTCAGAAGGGAAGCACTCAAGGTTGGTAAAATAGTAATGCTATCATTTTTGCAATATTTCAAAACATTTTTGAATAATGCATTTTGATTTTCTTGACCTGAATGTATTTACTTATTGATCAATCTGATGTGTCCATGCTTCACTTACAAGGATCTGACAGCACTCCGTTCTATTTTCTGTTTTAAAGGTCTTTCAAGATCCTCAGATTTTTTGTAATGATACACACCTTCAACAACTTGAAGGCTGAAATTTCATTGGCTACTTAAGTATTACCAGAACAGAAAGAAGAACAGCATTGAAAGCAAAGTGAGGACAAAGAATATGTATTTTCATCAGATTGTTTATTGATATAATAGACATTTTAAACAGAATATTAAATTAAGGCAAGTTCCTTTTTACAGATGCTTCCTATTATATTAATCCTTTCTGCATATATTGATAAGTTATGTATACTTTATACATGTTTGTTGCATCTCAGCATAAACTTTATGTAAACGAAAAAGATAATTTGCATAAAAGCATTGTTACCTGAATTACTTTCAGGATGTTAATTTGAAGAGTATTTTGAATATAAAATTTACATTTAAATGTTATTCCAGAAATTAGAATCCCAAACTACCAGCAGTGGTTCTGGAATAGTGCAAAGTTTACCAAGACAAATATCCAAAAATAATATTACTCAGCAAGGAAATATTGATTCAAAAAGCCAAGCATCATCTCCATCTACCACACATACAAGCTGTAAAATTAGTTTATCTAATAATCCATCTCAGAGAAATAAAACTGATAATATCAAATCTACTGCCTCGATAGAAGACACAAGTGAAAAAATTGATTTTTTTACAGCAAAGAAAATCTTTGCCAAAGTCAATCCAGTTCAAACTTTGCCAAAAAAAGATCTGACACGAACTGTCACTAATCCATATGCACTGTGTGAAGGGAAAAAGAATCATATAAATGATTCAATGTCAAGGAGCAGTGTTTCAAGTCTAAGGACTGGACATAAAGTTACTCCATCTGCAGAAAGTCGAGAAGGTACAAACCAGAATTCCCACCCCCGATATTTATCAAGGTCTTATTCAGTGGACAGTGACCACATCGAAAAGTACATCGATCGTAGTACGGGTACAATAAATAGACAACAATACTTGCCAGATGAACAAATACAAAAACTAATAGCCAACGCTGAAAGAAGACGTTCAGGAACATATGTGTCATCTATGACAATACCGATACAATCTTCAACACAGAGAAAAACAATCTTTTCTGTAGTAAAAAGCGGTCAGTCCTCCCATGTAGTTCCATCAGACAGACATTTACAGCAAGATAAGGATGAACTTAATAAAACAAAAGATACAAAAGGCTATCATTCAGTAAGATCTGGAAATATGGAAAATGTAAATAAGGAATCTAGCTTGTGATGAGTGTTATAGGAGGTAATATCATATCTTTGTAAATTACTGCACACTGAATGACTTGTCAGTGCAATATTAAAATACATATTTTTTATTCTATATTTGATTTTATTTATACATTCAATATATCCATTTTACATGTGAAAATATATATATATATATTGTATTTGTGTTTGATGAGACTAACATTTTGTTGATAGGGAATTTGGGTGTATGATTGAGTTATAGACGTTTTTGTATATGTTGTAAACAAATAGTGAACCTTGTAGTCCCAAAGAACAGTTATAATTGTAAACACTCAGGTCTAGACTAAGTTGACATATTTACAAATGTTTTCTATTTATTAATGTTAATGATATAACTTGTACCCAAACTTTATGTCACCTGAGGATTTTATTCAACATTTTTTTCACAATAGATATATATATATATATCCTAGGGAAAAGCATTCATCTCTTGTAGCTTAGTGTTACAACAAATATGCTAAGGGGCCTGACCCTGTAGTGTTAATAACAAATTAAAGTAGAGGGGTTCAATAAGCAAAAGTTTTATATATTAATAATGTGTTAGTTGCATTATACAAAGAATCCTATTAAAAAGATAACTTTTGCTGCAATATCTGTATATTTGTTTGATGTGCAATACAAGAATCTGCGGTTTTTATTAATTTTTTGTTGTGTTTTATTTTTCATTAATAACTTTGACTGACACTTATTTAGTGTACTAACTTTATATATTGAAATCTGCTGGATTATATATTATTGTTCATATAATTGTGATATTTTATGTTGATCAATTCAGTTCATAAAGATTTTAGTTTATTTTTATATTTGAAGTTTGTTTTTCAGTGATCTCTGTAATGTTGATTACACAATCTTGTAAATCCAAGTCTTCATGGTCTGAATTAATCTCAAGTTTATCATCTTTAATAAACTTAACCTATTTTGATTGACCATGTCTTAATTTAAAAATAGATAGCGTTTGTATTTCGATTGTAAAAGTTATATATTTTTAGTGAATTTTCGGGATGATAGTTAATGGGTTGTATGGAGAAAGCATGGAATACAGACTTCACCCTGTTTATTTCACACAATAATATGTACAAAGAAATTTAAATTATAAAAAGATTAACCCTAACCCTAACCGCTAAGCCTAAATCTAACCCTAACCCTAAAGCTAACTCTAACCGCTAAGCCTAAACCTAACCCTAACTGCTAAGCCACCCCTAGAGTATATTAAAAGGTACTGTCTTTTATAAGTACAGGAAATCATAGTGTTCAATAACATTTTCTAATCCCGCAACATACTTGTTACCATCAGTTCAAGTGTCCTAAATCCATCTAAAATTTTCTCTGGGATGGTCTTGCTATTTCATAATTGGCATATAGCTAGAAAGTCAAACCATGTGTTTTTTGTTTTTTATTTCATTTTCATTTTTGATATTTGATACTAAGATAGTGTGCTACTGTAAACTTATTTTTGCTGATATATATTTTTTCTTGTTTTTTTTCTTTTCGGACGATTTTACAGCAATGCAATTTTGTGATTTTCTAATTTTGTTGGTTTGTGTTGATTTATATTTGCTTTATTCTATACATCTTAAAGTTGAGAAAATAAATTGTCACAAAAATTATTTGTTCACATTATCCTCTGATGCATGTATTCAGACCAGTCCTAAATCTTTGATCAGAGTCTTATTCTACCTAAATCTTTGATCAGGGTCTTATTCTACCTAAATCTTTGATCAGGGTCTTATTCTACCTAAATCTTTGATCGGGGTCTTATTCTACCTTAATCTTTGATCGGGGTCTTATTCTACCTAAATCTTTGATCGGGGTCTTATTCTACCTAAATCTTTGATCAGGGTCTTATTCTACCTAAATCTTTGATCAGGGTCTTATTCTTATTCTACATAAATCTTTGATCAGGGTCTTATTCTACCTAAATCTTTGATCAGGGTCTTATTCTACCTTAATCTTTGATCAGGGTCTTATTCTACCTAAATATTTGATCAGGGTCTTATTCTACCTAAATCTTTGATCAGGGTCTTATTCTACCTAAATATTTGATCAGGGTCTTATTCTACCTAAATCTTTGATCAGGGTCTTATTCTACCTAAATATTTGATCAGGGTCTTATTCTCAAATCAGGGTCTTATTGTACCTAAATCTTTGATCAGGGTCTTATTTTACCTAAATCTTTGATCAGGGTCTTATTCTACCTAAATCTTTGATCAGGGTCTTATTCTACCTAAATATTTGATCAGGGTCTTATTCTTCCTAAATCTTTGATCAGGGTCTTATTCAACCTAAATATTTGATCAGGGTCTTATTCTACCTAAATCTTTGATCAGGGTCTTATTCTACCTAAATATTTGATCAGGGTCTTATTCTCAAATCAGGGTCTTATTGTACCTAAATCTTTCATCAGGGTCTTATTCTCAAATCAGGGTCTTATTCTACCTAAATCTTTCATCAGGGTCTTATTCTACATAAATCTTTGATCAGGGTCTTATTCTACCTAAATATTTGATCAGGGTCTTATTGTACCTAAATCTTTGATCAGGGTCTTATTCTACCTAAATATTTGATCAGGGTCTTATTCTCAAATCAGGGTCTTATTGTACCTAAATCTTTCATCAGGGTCTTATTCTCAAATCAGGGTCTTATTCTACATAAATCTTTCATCAGGGTCTTATTGTACCTAAATCTTTGATCAGGGTCTTATTCTACCTAAATCTTTCATCTGGGTCTTATTCTCAAATCAGGGTCTTATTGTACCTAAATCTTTGATCAGGGTCTTATTCTACCTAAATCTTTGATCAGGGTCTTATTTCTTCCTAAATATTTAATCAGGGTCTTATTGTACCTAAATCTTTGATCAGGGTCTTATTCTACCTGCTACAAGTAAGGAATATTTGACTTGTACATTCTGAATCATGTTCATGTTTTTAAAGATCATTTTACAAGTTAATATGGTATAAACTAAATTACTTTTATTTTGTTTGTGGTTTTTTTTTTTGTTATTACTTTTGTTATGAAGTTTTATAATGTTGATCTTTTGTTTTATCTGTTTGTTATAAATGCTTTTATTGTTATCTATGTTTGATTTATTAAACAATTACATATATATATATATTAATAAAATCAATAATATACTTTTATTTTCATATAGTTGCTGAAGTGGTTTTTTTATACACAAATGCTGTCTGTTGTCATCCTTCTGTAAATAAGTCTCTTTAAAATTATTCTTCCTATATAAATTATAATGCAACCCTTGATAATTTAAGGCTATAGTTGTACCGTAAATGTTTTATTATGATTGAATTATTATTTTGGTGATATTTGAGTAACCATATAATTTCAATACCTTGCAGCCTTTTAAACATATACCTATGATGCACTCTTGTGAAAGTCTGTCATTTTATAATTGTGTGAGGTCCGCTACCCTTGAAAGACTGCACACACTTTCTTCATCTAAAGTTTGTTTGTTTGTTGTTGTCTCCCCTGCGACGAAATTGTCAGAACGTAAGACATAGGGATTACATTAATGTGTTAGCATAAGCAATTTGTATACAGATTTATATTTCATAGGGTAGAAGACCTGGATTTCTTCATATCTTGTATACAGATGCTTTATGTTACAAAGTTTATGTCACCCATATGTCCATTTTCCTTGACTTCATTTTCAACTTTCAGAGACTGCTAAAAGTAATGTATAGGTTTTTTGTCCTGTGAATTTCTCACTTCTTATGAATAATAAGATAACTGTATTTGGTATATTGGGTCCTTACACATTCTACATGTACTTCAAACAGGGTTTCACCTGACCTTGATCTCATTTCCCAGATCAATGATCATGGTGAAAAGTTACATGATTAGGTCCATTTCTCAGATACTATAAGCAGTAGGTCAACTATATGTGGTGTATGGAATGATTGTAAGGTGTACATGTCTATCTGCCAGGTAACATCTGTCCTTGACCTAGTTTTCAGAGTTCATTGGTCAATGTTAAATTATCCTGGTTCAGTCAGTTTCTTAGATACTACAAGCAGTAGGTCAACTATATATGGTGTATGGAATGATTGTAAGGTGTACATGTTTATCTGACCTTGACCTCATTGTCATGGATCATTGATAATGTTCAATTACTAATTTAGTTTAATATTTGTCACTGGTAGCGTGATCAAAAGCTAAAACTGTTGGTAACACAGTATAACCATTGGTAGCATGGCCTAAAGGCACTGATTTGATATTATTCAATAAAGGACAAGAATTGTTTGAATCTTGCAAATAAAGTTAAATAACAACATGTTTTAATATATTTACAACATAAAAACCCACCAGGGCGTTAAGAATAACTGGCACCCCCCTTTTGTAGTTTTTGGCTAGATGTAAACATTAGCATAAAATCAATGGATGGATGTAGTAAAATATTTGGATCAAAGTCACAGGTCAGTTAATAAAAAAAAAATACAGGGGTAAAGGTACACAGGTAATTGTATAAATCCTGGTCGTGGTATGTAAAAATTGCGCTGGTAACACTCTGGTATATATTACAACAGGTCATGGTAGCAGGTCCCCATCCATGGTAACGTAATTCTCACACCATACTCGTACATTTACCCTGGCAGGAAACCAAATACGATTATGGCGGTTTCTATTAAATTAAGAAATGTTTGCTGAAAAATAACCCAACTAAGGAGAGTTAGCCATACAGGCATGGCTTAAGTTCAGGTTACTTTCCCTGATATTTCTAACTAAACCCCCTTAACCATGCATGCATGGCTAACCTTCCTTAATTGGGTTAATTTTCATCAAACATTTTTTATCAATTTTCTAGAATTCAAAATTATTCCAGATTTGAATAATTCCTTGTTATTAGTTGGTATATAATGTAGACAATGTTTTTTGTTGATCATTCCACTATAGATTTCAGACAAAATCATGTGATTTGTGAGTGATCAGAACTACCTCAGAACTAACAAAAATTTAAAACAAATCTTCATAAATTCATAAAATCACACTTCTCTATTTGCCCCCCATCATCTTGGTGAAAACCCAAATACAATAGATATGTAATGTACACAATGTTTTGTTGATCCCAACACTGCATAGATTTCAGATGTCATCACATAAAATGGGCTTGGACACAATGAAAAACGGGCTTGGACACAATGAAAAACAGACTATCTCAGAACTAACTAGACAAAGTGATGCCCTGCACTCCACTCTGAAGTAACTATATTATAACAAAGTCAATGTAGGACTTTCTTTTGAGATATTATTGTGTCTGGGAGACATAAATGATTCCCCCACAGATGCAAAGTGTTATTTTTAAATACACAAAGTTGAGCATTGGAGCACATAGGTCTATGGTTCACTGTAGAAGGAGTTATCCGGAAACGCTATGCACCTCTTATGCAAGTATATACTCCAAAAAGGACAAAGTTCAACTATCTCCCAAAAGAGCAAATATTAATAAAAATCAAGACTGTTATCTCATTGGCAATCATGTAACCACATCTCCTTATTTTAGTACGGGTTAATTATTTGAAATAAATGACTCACAAACATTAAATCATTTGAAAAAAGATAATTCTGCAATAATTTATGTTGTCATTTAAAGATTTCAGTTTATATATATATAAATATCAACAATGAAATTTGGTTGTATAAATGGTGTCACTATATTTGTAATTGTCAAACTAGTATAACAATGCTATTGTCTAAATCTACAGAATTTGGTCATCCTTTAAGTAACAGAAATAACAATGTCACTAAGTCACTTATAACTTATCTCTTAAATAAGTAGGACTATGTGGGGTATCAGAGCTTGCTTACTGCAGGCTCTTCATCATCATTTTGTTAAATAATTCTATAAAGAAGGGGATAGTCTGTTAATGTATCCTTGACTAAGAATAATGAAATTGCAAGAAACAAATTCACATTTAACTTTGAATATTGTAGATCGTTCAGGTAGTCTTGAGCTATTTCTTTATACAAAAGAAACAACCAGTATATAAATATAATCATGTTACACCACTGTCCCAGGTTAGGGGGGGGATTGGGATCCCGCTAACATGTTTAACACGCCACATTCTGTATGTATGTGCCTGTCCCAAGTCAGGAGCCTGTAATTCAGTGGTTGTCATTTGTTGATGTGTTACATATTTGTTTTTCGTTCATTTTTTTTGTACTTAAATTAGGCCATTAGTTTTCTCGTTTGAATTGTTTTACATTTGTCATTTCGGGGCCTTTTATAGCTGCATGACTATGCGGTATGGGCTTTGTTGAAGGCTGTACGTTGACTTTTAGTTGTTAATTTCTGTGTCATTTGGTCTCTTGTGGAGAGTTGTCTCATTGGCAATCATACCACATCTTCTTTTTTATATTCACTTCACACATATATATATTTATCTTGACAAACAAATAAAAAAGCCATAGACATTGAAAACAATTCATATCTATTCTATTGTCAGTCAGCCTACCTACCATGAACTGAAGTCTCTTAAGATTCAGTAGGTAAATTATGTGAAAATCAAAGACTTGCATCAAAAATATCCCAATATTAGAGACAATGGCGTCATTTTTCCTCAGAGCTTTCAGGTCTTTGATTGACCTTTTTTAACTAGACCTAATCACTACTTTACATAAAGATTCAGCACCCAAATTTTTTTAAACATGTAATTTCATCCCCTTACTTAATATTTCATGCATGAAATATCAAGAAATAAATTGGGAAAGTGTATGAAAAAAAATTGCTAGTTATACACTGTTTACAGTAGGGACTATATTCGTAGACAACGAAAACCAAAGTACGATAACTGTGTCCTTGGACCTGATATCATAGGGAACATGTGTACTAAGTTTCAAGTTGATTGGACTTCAACTTCATCAAAAACTACCTTGACCAAAAACTGTAACCTGAAGAGGGACAGACGGAAGAACAAACGAACACATGCACAGACCGAAAAACATAATGCCCCTCTACTATCGTAGTTGGGGCATAATAATCAAAACCCTGACCACATGCACACCTTCAATATATTTACAAGTAGCCAGCAAAGTGAAAACTTCCAAGCATTCAAACTGTAGGAGGAGTTATCTGGAATAACTATACACCCATAATGGGACGGACGGACAGGTGTAAAACAATATGACCCCCAACTTTCAGTTGCGGTGGCATAAAAATTGTCAAGTGGATCTCAGTTGTCATCTTATCATTTGAATCATGAAAAAATCATCTTACAGAGAGAAACCTCAGAGACAACAATCATCTAACAGAGAGAAACCTCAGAGCATATTTAATTAATGTGTCTAGCTGTGTCTTTTTGTTTGTTATATAAAGCTTTGTATTTCTTGTAAATGGTGTCCACCTTTCTAAACCTAGAATAGCATGTTTGATGAAACAATAATAAAACAAGGTAAAATTATTTCACACTTTTTAATTGCTAATTGTCTTTGTTCGTTAGATGATAAATCTGATCAAAAATACTTGCATAAAAATTTGCTCCAATATTCTAAATAATCACAGGTATTTTTAATAAATAAAATCAGGGTAGCACTTCCATAAATATTTACATCATAATAATAATAAAGAGAATTACCGGTATACATAATCAGTATTTTAAAACAATGCTGACTGGTCATAACAAGTTCAATTAAAATAACAACAATGCTATAAAGGTTTAAGTATGAAGGTCATTTTCTGTTTATTTTTAATTAACAAACATGTTCCCGAGGTATCATTTTCATGTTTTTCTCAATTCTTATTCTGATATTTGTTAGAGATCAAATTTATGTGAGAGATATTTTCAAAATTTTTCTATCGCTTTACAGTAAATCATATATTTCTAATAAAATCAAGGTGGTTGTTAATTCAGATCTTTTAGTAGTGTATAAATATCAAGACATAACTGGGTCAAAAAATAAGGTTATGATGTGAAATTTGTAGAGTAAACTTGAAGTAGATTATAAATATAATTTATATCATAATTAAAATAATTCAGCTTAATAAACACATTTATTCCATAAACTGGAGTAAATGGATAAAAACATGTAAAATAAAATGATGTAAAGAGCTTTCATTGGAGTTTAAAATTGGGGGAAAAACAAACCTTCTTGTAATTTCAAAGACAATAAATGTGGATAGTGTCCACATGTGGACACAGATGATGCCCCCGCTTGCATATCATATAGTTATAAAGGGACATAACTGAAGAACGGTAAAAGTGACCCTACCCAAAAATTTTGAGGTAATAAGCATTGTGTGTAAGTCTCATAACATTTGGTTGAGGCTAACTTAAGTAGAGAACAGAAGCTAAAAGTTCAGCAATTTATCTATTTGTAAACTCACATAACTCTAGAACGGTTGTGTATAAGTTTTATAACATTTGGTTGAGACAAACAAAAGTTAGAGAGAACGGAAACGAAAAATTCAGCAATTTTTATGTTTATAACGGGACATAACTCAAGAATGGTAAAAGTGTCGCCACCAAATTTCGTACTTAATCTGTATTATGTAGTAATAAGCATTGTGTATAAGTTTCATAACATTTGGTTGAGGCAAACTCAAGTTAGAAAACGGAATCAAAAAATTTGTACCTGATCTTAGTTTTGTTGTAATGAATATTGTGTATAGGTTTCATAAGTTACAGAATGGAAACTAAAAATTTTGCAATCTTTCGATTTATAAAGGGGCATAATTCAATAATGTTTAAAGTGACACTACCCAAATTCAACTTGATCTGTGTTTTATCAGTAGAAGTCAAAATTAAACATTGCATTGTATAACTCATTGATAGTAGTTGATTCAACTATAATCATGGACAAAGGAAGATAACTCCAATTTTAAAAATAACTTGATATTTAGAAGAAAATAAAAATTTTGCAATTTTTCCATTTATAAAGGAGCATAACTCTAGAATGGTTAAAGAGACACCACCAAAATTTCTACTTGATCTGTGTTTTGTGGTAATAAGCATTGTGTATAATTTTCATAACATTTTGTTGAGGCAAACATAAGTAAGAGAACGGAAACTAAAAATTTTGCAATTTTTCCATTTATAAAGGGGCATAACTCTAGAACAGTTAAAGTGACTCCACTAAAATTCGAACTTGATCTGTGTTTTGTAGTAATAAGCATTGTGTATAAGTTCATAATATTTGGTTGAGGCAAACTTAAGTTAGAGAACGGAAACTAAAAATTTTGCAATTTTTCCATTTATAAAGGGGCATAACTCTAGAACGATTAAAGTGACGCCACCAATATTCAAACTTGATCTGTGTTTTGTGGTAATAAGCATTGTGTATAAGTTTCATAACATTTGGTTGAGGCAAACTTAAGTTAGAGAACGGAAACCAATTATGGGACTTACAGACGTACGTACAGACGGACAAGGGTAAAAATTAATGCCCCCACCGCTACTGCGGGGGGCATAAAAAAATACAAATATAAATATGATTTATAATATGTGAAGTTAAAGCCTGAATTAATCTATGATAACACAAGTTACATTTTAACAGACCCTTACTTCAACAGACAATAAGAAAATATTACAAGATACAGGTTAAAAATCAGATAGTGTAGGACAAAATATTGACCCGTTATATGCTATAGCTTTTTTAAAAATCTGGAAAAATATATATAATATGTAGATATAAATAGTGTAACAAAATAAAATCTTAGGTGTTTGGTTTTTGTACAGAAATGTTAAACAATTTCACAACAAATTGATCAGTATACACATGCACATATTAAACATAAATAAAATACAATTATGGTAATGAAAACTATTACCTATTGCATCACAAACTGTTTCTCAACAAACCCATTGTCTACTTTATGTATCACAGTTTATTAAATTGTCATGTGATGTATCATAATTACGTACTACAAATTTATATTGAATCTCCTGAAAATTTTTTTGTTTAAATTTAATTTGACTTTGCCATTATAATTCCCACTTTGATTCTTTCTATAGAATCAAATCCTTCTTTTTAATTTCAAATACTGCATCTTTTTGTTACTAAATTTGGGTGTTAAAGAACTGGTCTTAGCACATTTGGTACAAAGTGTGAAAGTGTTTTGAGCTAAAAATGTGTTGTCAGTCATAACTGTTGCAATGGCACCACAAATAGATAAATCAAATTACATTTCACATCCTCTTAAGTATTATGATACATTTAAATATTCCTACATTAAATTCATTGTTTTTAGGACCCTGGTCCAATCTCTGCTCCATGTCACATTGAAGGACATTATATAAAATTTAAGATTATACTGTATACATGACCTTTTATGGTATTGAATGACTATAAAATTGCTTTGATCAACCTGGTTTCCTCTGCTTGACAGTCTGATAGGAACATAAACTTACATAATTGACTATTTGTTCAATGCTTGTCAAGGACATATTTAAACTTTTCACTTTGTTTATAAAGCATTAAGTTTCAAATCTATAAACCACCTCTACTTCTAACTGTTCAGATTCCTCAAGCCAAGTAATTATGATCATTTCGTTTTAATGAACAGACTTTAATACCTGACAAACAAAATTACTGGCCAGCATCATAATGAAATGCAAATCATGTTAATTTTTAAGATATGTATTTTTCTTTTACCTCTCTTAAATATATAGATCACAAAATGTTAAATGATTAACCTGTAGTGAATGTATGAAGGCATTGTAAAACTGACTAGTTAAAAACTCATACAGGAATTAACACAAATAACAAAATTCAATGCAACAAATTGTAATGACTTACCCAGAAATAATTTATAATAAAAATAATAGACAACACGATATCAGAGAAATTGATCTCTCTGTGTCCATTACAGTTAAAATAAAGTCTTGTTCGAAAAAAATCTTGCTATATTTCATTTTGCTAATATATTCAAAAGTTAAAAATAAATAGAGGGAATGACTGATTCTGAATTATCTTGTAAAATGGTATTAGGACTTGATGTGAAGCACTAATTAATAGCCCTATATTGAAGTATGCTTGCTCTATTTCCAAATGACTTGATGTGAAGCATTACTTGATAGCCCTATATCAAAGTATGCTCTATTACCAAAGGAATGGCACAAAGGAGGGAAAACTCATTTTATAATGGATACAGAAAACCATGCCTGGTTGTTTTTCATTTACAACCAGTTTCAACACCTTTCCTGAAGAAAAAACTGAAATATTATGCCTTTTATAAACATGCACAATGCATTGAGATTCTCTATTTTTGGCACACAATAAAACAAGAAAATAATCAACTTCTCGGGGAATGAGATTTCAGATAAAACACCATCACTAAAACCAATGTAAAGAAAATGAACACAACAGGTTAAATAACTACTGAAACTAGGCAAGATTTCCCTGCATTGATGACAAGCTATGTATCTGAGTACTGGGGGGAATCAAATCTTCTGTTTATGACAACCTGATTTGTGGTCATGATGGTTCAACAAACTTATCAACAGAATGATGACAAAAAGTACATGCTTTAAAATGGAATAATGTTTGCTGTATAAAACTTGCAACAAAAATATTGTCACCTTTTTGGAATTGGTTGATATTAACAAGACTTTTTATGTAAAAGGAAAAACCAGCAAAACAAAAGGTAATATTTCCTACCATGTCATCACAACAAGGTAATAATATTTCCTACCATGTCATCACAACAAGGTAATAATATTTCCTACCATGTCATCACAACAAGGTAATAATATTTCCTACCATGTCATCACAAGGTAATAATATTTCCTACCATGTCATCACAACAAGGTAATATTTCCTACCATGTCATCACAACAAGGTAATAATATTTCCTACCAGGTCATCACAACACGGTAATGGCTTTGTACATGCCTGGAATGTGCATTTGGTTATTATTAATTTCAAAAATGAAACAATGATTTTCAATAACGAAACAATGATTTTTACAAGATTTCTTAATAAAATACTACAGACTTTTGTCATAACGACCCCTTCATTTTCAAATTCATCAATATATATATAAGTAGCTCTGATACCATAAAATCTGATCTGTACTTTACCATACCTTTCTACCCCTCTTTTCTACAAGTTTAAACCAAACCAAAGCAATTAAAATTGATAAAGACCTAATTATTGCATGAAAATAAAACAGGTTTCTTATGCAGTAATATTTTTTACATTGTTATGCTGGTACATGTAGTGTAAAAAAACTAACTAAACAAAACCAAAATTTCCCTTGAATACTAAAAATATGCAATTACATTCTATAATAAAAACCAAATAATTCTTTGCAACAAAAAAAATTACCAGATGACTTTCTAACACAAAATTAATTAATTAAAGTCCTTAAAAATCTTTAACAAATTAGCACCCTAAATTCTCTAAGATTCTATATCAGAGGTTGAATCACCGATTGTTATGTCTACTGGTTTTTGTAGTTTATCGACAACGCTTTCGGTAGAGCTATGCAATTCTTCATTATCATCTTCAAAATGACCGTTATGTTCTTCTTCCGTCATGTTTAGTTCTGTCACTACTAACTTTGCAATGTCACTGATGCTATCTGTTTCATCTAAAGAGATCTGACGAAGCCGATTTCTAATGACTTTCTCCATCTTACGGTGTTCAGTTTCTTCAGCATTTTTTAGTTTCTTGAATTCTTTTTCTCTTGCCTCTTTGTTGTATTTCTTCTGATGTTTATCTGGATCAAAAAATCCATCTGGAAAGAATGCCCCACCAGAGGTAGGGCTACCAGGCGGGCTACGATCAATCATACAAGATGTGTCTATTTCATCAGTAATCGTTGTATACTCGGCTGTGTTGAAGGAGGTAAGAATAGGTACTACTGATGTTGAAGTGGTGTAAGAACCAGAAGTTGGATATGTAAATATTGAAGATGAATGTACAAATAATTTTTCAGGAGAAGTTGGAGGATGAATTGGCTCCTTTTCTTCATAATGCGGAATCTGTGATACAGGAACTTCTGTGTGTTCCACCTCTACACGTGGAACATCTGATTGGTTGGTTGTAGTCAGCACCATACTAGAACTAAGATGTGCTGTAGAATACAATGATGCATTGCCATTAGTGTCCACCTCAGAGTCTTGGCTGACTGCAACTTCAGCTGAATGAGGTGCAACCTTCTGTTGAACCAATAAATCCGGTTTGTTTGACTTTTCTTCATGAGGACTATACACATTAGCTTTCTCTACATTTACAGTAAGGGTCTCTGGTACATGTCTACGTAGATGTAGTGGTGAATGGGTTTCTGATGTTAAACTGATTATTGGAATGGAACTTCTCCTGATTTTTTGGCTCCACTGTCTTTCAGTAGAATGTCTTGGTGACACTTTCGGAGAAGCTTGAACTGAATAATCTGTATATTTGCGAAGGAAGTCATCTTTAAATGGTCTCCTTGAATGCACTAATAGAGGTGAAGGTAAACTGCGAGCTGCTTCTGTTACACTTAAAGATTTGTCACTACCCTGTCCAGTATCTGCTCGTACAGTTAAATCTTGATAAAATGTGAAATCATTGGATTCATGTGCAGATTCATCTTCACTTTCTAAACGACCATGACTTCCTGAACTTGATGCACTGACATTTCTTGAGCTCCTTGCTATATAGTTCCTAATTTGTTGTGTCATCTCTGAAGTGTGGATACATAAATCTTCTAGTTTACTTAATCTATAATCTACAGTCTGTAGGGATAACTTGATATTATTTTCCTTCTGTGTAAAATCATCCATTCTCATTGCCATACCCTCAACCCTGAAATGTACATAATTATTATCATGAATATAAGTAATTTTTTGTATGTTAATAGGACATATTGAATAATATAACAGAATACAAATGTGTCGAGTTTTGTGATTCGATAACTACACAGAGATATCAGTATACAATTGGTACGTTTTAGGAGGGGCCCACTTTCTATATACAAGGTGATAGGACGTGCCGCTGGAATAGGTCACATTTTTCAGCTTGAAAATATGTGAATAGGTGGGGAAAACTATCAGAAATATATGATAAGGTCAATAAAGTTCCAATTACTTGTTAAATGAAAAACCCTGCAAATTTCTATGTGTTCCCGGCTGTGTTATTATCCACAAATTTTCCCCCTTTTGACACTTTGGTATTCCACTTTTCCAACACACCACACACGAAACCCAACCAATATGGAAAAAGGTTACATTTTTACCTATGCAATATATGAAAAGGTATACATTTTCAAATCTGAATTACATGAAAAGGGTGGGATAACAGTGGCACCCCTATCAATTAAGTATTGAAGTGGCCCCCAAGATATATTGACATTCCTGGGTGAGGGTTTATATTCCCTTCACCTACGTCAGGAATGATACATTATAAATAATGAAATACCTAAATAACATATAATATAAGACTACTGTGGATTCATTTATTAGTCGTTGGAGACCAAATTTTCTCGGATTCCGTTGTTAAGTGAACCACAACTATGAATGTTCAAAGAAGTACAAATTTTCTGTAGGCTTGTACGCAGAATTGGGCAAATCAACAAAAACGAGCATTCTGAGAGTATTGCATGGATAGTCCCCTACCGGTTAAAAATTCATTGTATTGGAACAAAATGCTAACTTTATCTATAACTTGTAGTGTTTTAAACTATATAAAAAATATCAAATAAATATCTTCAAGCATGATGAAATAAAATGCTCCGCTGGGGCGCAGCTTGATATGACCGCATAGGTCGAACCCTGAACAGTTGGGGCAAGTATGGACACAACATTCAAGCTTGATACAGCACTGAATTTGGATTGTAATTAAATATTTGACACAGCATAGGTTTCTGACACACAATGAATGTGGTCTAAGAACTTAAATTTTTTTAAATTACCTATTCAAACCATATCATTATTATTTGCTTTTATATATAAATCAGAAATAACCAATTTAAAATGGAAAATTTAAAAGAAAAAAAAGGAAAAAAAAATCCCCCCCCCCCCCCCCGAATTTTTTGAACCCCCTTATGATTCATCATCCCCAAACTCAATCCCAACCTTCCCTTTGTGGTATGGTACCTTGCAGTACAATTTCAGAGAGATCCATACACTTGTACACAAGTTATTGTCTGGAAACTAGAAAAATGCTTGTTTTTTGGCCCCTTTTTGGCCCCAAATTCCTAAACGTTTAGGGCAATTACCCTCAAAATCAAACCCAGCTTTCCCTTTGTGATATAGAACCTTGCAGTACAATTTCATAAAGATCCATACACTTACACACAAGTTATTGTCCTGAAACTAGAAAAATGCTTGTTTTTTTTCCCCTTTATGGCCCCTAATTCCTCACATTTGGAGGCAATTACCCCCAAAATCAATCCCAGCATTCCCTTTGTTGTATGGAACCTTGCAGTACAATTTCAGAGAGATTCATACACTTGAACACAACTTATTGTCTGGAAACTAGAAAAATGCTTATTTTTGGTCCCTTTTTGGCCCCTTATTCCTAAACGTTTTGGGCAATTACCCCCAAACTCAATTCCAGCTTTCCCTTTGTGATATGGAACCTTGTAGTACAATTTCATAAAGATCCATACACTTACACACAAGTTATTGTCATGAAACTAGAAAAATGCTTGTTTTTTGCCCCTTTTTGGCCCCTAATTCCTAAAATTTGGAGGCAAATACCCCCCAAAATCAATCCCAGCATTCCCTTTGTGATATGGAACCTTGTGGTACAATGTCAGAGAGATCTATACACTTACACACAAGTTATTGTCTGGAAACTAGAAAAATGCTTGTTTTTTTTCCCCTTTATGGCCCCTAATTCCTCACATTTGGAGGCAATTACCCCCAAAATCAATCCCAGCATTCCCTTTGTTGTATGGAACCTTGCAGTACAATTTCAGAGAGATTCATACACTTGAACACAACTTATTGTCTGGAAACTAGAAAAATGCTTATTTTTGGTCCCTTTTTGGCCCCAAATTCCTAAACGTTTAGGGCAATTACCCTCAAAATCAAACCCAGCTTTCCCTTTGTGATATAGAACCTTGCAGTACAATTTCATAAAGATCCATACACTTACACACAAGTTATTGTCCTGAAACTAGAAAAATGCTTGTTTTTTTTCCCCTTTATGGCCCCTAATTCCTCACATTTGGAGGCAATTACCCCCAAAATCAATCCCAGCATTCCCTTTGTTGTATGGAACCTTGCAGTACAATTTCAGAGAGATTCATACACTTGAACACAACTTATTGTCTGGAAACTAGAAAAATGCTTATTTTTGGTCCCTTTTTGGCCCCTTATTCCTAAACGTTTTGGGCAATTACCCCCAAACTCAATTCCAGCTTTCCCTTTGTGATATGGAACCTTGTAGTACAATTTCATAAAGATCCATACACTTACACACAAGTTATTGTCATGAAACTAGAAAAATGCTTGTTTTTTGCCCCTTTTTGGCCCCTAATTCCTAAAATTTGGAGGCAAATACCCCCCAAAATCAATCCCAGCATTCCCTTTGTGATATGGAACCTTGTGGTACAATGTCAGAGAGATCTATACACTTACACACAAGTTATTGTCTGGAAACTAGAAAAATGCTTGTTTTTTGCCCCTTTTTTGCCCATAATTCCTAAAATTTGGAGGCAATTACCCCCAAAATCAATCCCAGCATTCCCTTTGTGATATGGAACCTTGTGGTACAATGTCAGAGCGATCCATACACTAACACACAAGTTATGTCTGGAAGTTACAAAAATGCTTATTTTTGGCCCCTTTTTGGCCCCTAATTCCTTAACTGTTGGTACCATAACCCCCAAAATCAATCCCCACCTTTCTTTTGTGATTTTGAACCTTATGGTAAAATTTCATAGAGATCCATTCACTTAAACTAAAGTTAGAGTGCGAAAACCAATGTGTCTTCGGACAACGACGCCGGACGACAACGACGACGCCATCGTCATACCAATATACGACCACAAAATTTGTTTGCGGTCGTATAAAAAAGTGGTGAAAACTGATTATTAAAGTGAATTTTCTAAGTCCAAGGGGGGGCCTCAGTGGCTGAGTGGTCTAAGTAGTTACTACTGTAATCACTAGCCAGTCAACACTGAGGCTGTGAGTTCGAACACCAAAAAACACCAAAAAATCAAAATCAAATCAATCTAAGTCCAAGGACCATAACTCTGCACAAAATCATCAGACCAGAACCAAAATTTGAACTTGATCTGTAACTTGTCATGATAAAACTACATACCAAATATCAAATAAATATCTTCAAGCATGACAAAAAAAAGTGTGGAAAACTGATTATTTGAGTGAATGTTCTAAGTCCAAGGACCATAACTCTGCACAAAATCATCAGACCAGAACAAAATTAGAACTTGATCTGTAACTTGTCATGATAAAACTACATACCAATTATCAAATAAATATCTTCAAGCATGACAAAAAAAAGTGCGGAAAACTGATTATTTGAGTGAATTTTCAAAGTCCAAGGACCATAACTCTGCACAAAATCATCAGACCAGAACAAAATTTGAACTTGATCTTTAACTTGTCATGATAAAACTACATACCAATTATCAAATCAATATCTTCAATCATGACGAAAAAAAGTGTGGAAAATTGATTATTTCATCCAAGGACCATAACTCTGCCGGACTGATGAATTGATGGACAGGAGTGCAAACCTAAAGTCGACTTTGACTTCGTCGGTAGGGGGCTAATAAATATCCACAAAAATTACAATTTTTCTCAATCCACGAAAATTGGTACTCACAAAAATAAACAGTCTTCTTAATCTCAATCAAAGTGGTATGCAGTAATTATAAATATAATGACATGAATTGACTATCAAATTTCTTTCTTAAAATCTGAAACGAGAGAATTACTTTTTTAAATAAAACATTGCATACCTTTCATTGATAACTCTTATTCTTTCATCAGAGGATGATTGAAACTTTTGTTCTTTATCTCTGAAGAAGTCTTCCATGCATTCTTCTTCAAAGTCATGTAACTTCTCTGTATCCTCAAGTGACAAGAACAACTCTAAAAAATAAATAGATAACTTTACTAGCCATGAATAATCTTGGAAGGAAGCTGTTAAAAAGTATTTAAAAGAGAATCGAGTATTTGTAAATTCAAATTCTGTGATAAACTAGAACTATCTATTTGGAAAACAAGAACAGCACATGCACATACACATCAGTGTATCAGAATCCAAAAACATGCCGTTTTTAATCCAAGCCTAATAAACCATTTAAAAGGAATTATAATGAAAGGAGAGGGATAGGGTCAACATTTGTAAGTTTGTGGTGTATATCTCTGCCCACTGTAAACTGAACAATTCAACAACTCCAAATGAATCAAAATAGTATAAAGGCATATTAAATTGGTTTCCATAAAGGCATATTAAATGGTTTCCATAAAGGCATATTAAATTGGTTTCCATAAAGGCATATTAAATTAGTTTTCATAAAGTATATTAAATTGGTTTTCATAAAGGCATATTGAATTAGTTTTCATAAAGGCATATTAAATTGGTTTCCATTCAGGCATATTAAATTAGTTTTCATAAAGTATATTAAATTGGTTTTCATAAAGGCATATTGAATTAGTTTTCATAAAGGCATATTACATGGTTTTCAACTGTATTAATTTTTGTGAATAAAAGATGCGAGGAATGATCGCATATTCATAAAAGAGTTTAATGAATTTACATAGAAATATTTTGCTTTGAGATTCCCATGAGTGGAACTCCAACATTGACCTGTAACATGTTCTAAAGCTTCAATTGGAAATTTATAAAACACAAATAATTTCACTTACTCAGTCCATTATCAAATAAGTCCCTCTTTCCTTTGCATCGTCTCACTATAAACTTCAAAGACAGGAAAATGTGACTGAACATAATCATTGGTGGAGGTAGTAGGGGTCGAAGTTCATAGTTTAAAATCAGCTGGTATCTTTGGAATTTCCATATAGCTTCTGAATGAGCATTATTCCGAATAAAAGTTGCACTGTAAAAAAGAAAGATTTAACGGAGCATTAAAAGAGAGTTTGGCAATATAGTCATAAATAAACTCTAAAAGTAGTATAAGAGCTAAAATCCCCAAAGTGCTAGTGATGTTTACCTGGTATGTATACTAATTCCAGGAATTATCTATATCCTTGAAATTTAAGTTTGGTAGCAGTTGGCCATTCATTAAAATTTTTAACACACTAAAATATTTCGAACATTGAAGAGTTTTCGCTGTAATCCAACAATACTCACTTAAACCTGGCAATGAGTAGATTAACCAATAATATGTTGGCTACTAGCAGATAAGGTGTCATCAATAATGGAGCAACCCAAGCAGCATAGGTACAACCATCAGGATGCCGCTCTTCATCATAACATGCTGAAAATAGACAAAGTTAAATGTAACATAGAATACAACCATCATTATAATTCTCTCTAACATACTAATCTCAGACAGACAAAAGTATGGTTGCCATCCAATATGAAATATTAGATTAAGCATCAGAAAACACTTTTCCTGCACAAATCTGAGTTTAATGTTTAGTAACAATGACCTTGACCTTAGATCTAAAGACCTCAAAATCAATCCTTACCCTGCCTCCACTTCTTTTTTTTTAACCTTGTGACCATATTACCAGGTACGGTTGCTATCTGATATAAACTGTTAACCCAGAGATATGTCTCGCCTATTTGATATTTTGATATTGCAAATGTTGAAATTAAAATAGCAATACTTTAACATGTAAGTTATGCAAATATTCAAAGTCAATGAACCATGACTGAAGGTACAGGGCTAAACAATCTCCATGGAAATGAAATGTGCCAATGCTAATACAACTGCAAACCAAATACCATTGACTTTTCATAAGTCGTTCCCTTTAAACAAACCTAAACACAAACATTAACTTGTAAACTATGTAAAAGTTTCAAAGTCAATGAACCATAATGAGGGGGTGGGGTTATATAATCTCCATGGAAATGAAACTTGCAAATGCCAATACATTTGCATACCGAATATCATTGACTTAACATTAGTGGTTCATCTTGAACTGACATAATCACAAACCTATATATGTAAACTAAGCAAAAATTTCAAAGTCAATAGACCATGACTGAGGGGTAAGGACCAAATATTCTCCATGGAAATGAGATGTGCTATTGCTTATAAATACAACTGCATACCAATTATCATTGACCTACCACTAACAGTTACCCTTAAACTGACCTAATCACAAACTAATACATGAAAACTAAGCAAAAGTTTCAAAGTCAATAGACCATGAATGAGGGGACAGGGCCAAATAATCTCCATGGAAATGAGATATGCCAATGCTTATACAACTGCATACCAAATATCATTGACCTACCACCAGTGGTTCCCCATAAACTGGCCTAATCAAAAACTAATACATGTAAACTAAGCAAAGTTTCAAAGTCAATAGACCTTGACTGAGGGGGCAGGGCTAAATAATCTCCATGGTAATGAGATGTGCCAATGTTAATACAACTGCATACCAAATATCATTGACCTACCACTAGCGGTTCCCCATAAACTGACCTAATCACAAATTAATACATGAAACTAAGCAAAGTTTCAAAGTCAATAGACCTTGACTGAGGGGGCAGGGCCAAATAATCTCCATGGTAATGAGATGTGCCAATGCTAATACAACTGCATACCAAATATCATTGACCTACCACTAGTGGTTCACCACGAACTAGACCTAATCACAAACTAATACCTTGCCGCCGCCGTCGCAGGAAACTGCATACCTATGTCTCGCTTTTTGACTCTGTCAAGGCGAGACAATAAATTATTTGATTTAGCATCTGGAAACCAAGACGACTGAGACTAACAGGTTAAAAACTTTATATCCTAAGGCCTATGATGAGAGTATTTTAATACTTTTGAATGTTTTATCTCATTCATCACCAAGAAGAGTTCATATTAAGTATAAATTCATTTAAATATTCTATTATTGTATATGAAGTGTGGGAAGTTGCAAATTACATATGTGTTCATGAATGTTGAAGTACTTTTTGACCTACAAGTAGAAACAAGCTTCAAACTAAAACAAAAACCAAATTCATGCAAATGACATGTTTTCTCAGATGATTTCAGCCAATCTTACTGTACGGAATCGTGATTTGGTATATATGATTAAACATGAAGTAGTTCAAGTCACTATTTAGGGATGAAATGTGAATTATATTCATAGTTGTTGGATAATAAAATTCATCAACTAATACTCTAAAGTCCTATATTATTCTAATTTATTATAAATAAAACAAGAGATTAAGAATATCATGACAAACATCATCTATTATGTAAATCTATCATGATTGTCTCTATTTTGACAATTCCTTCAGGATTTATTTAAAACACAGTAAAGATATCAGGACCAACATGATCATAAGTATTGGGCTTAAACTACATGGGATTCATAATTAATCAGGAACAACATGATCATAAGTATTGGGCTAAAACTACATGGGATTCATAATTAATCAGGAACAACATGATCATAAGTATTGCACTTAAACTACATAGGATTCATAATTATCTGTGGGATACCAGTTTTTGTAGATTTCATACCTGTCAACTTCTGAAAATGAAAATGCAGCATTGAGGAAGAAAAAGTCAGGTCATGACATAAAAACATTATTCAGTTGAATTTTAGTAGCTCGTATATAATATATACCAGTTTTCTACAAATATTCCCAATTGTGAAGAATTTGGTGAAAATTATTTAAAATTTCAATTTATGTTTTCATCTTAACTTCATTGTATTTGTTTAATATTTATAATAAATCAAATATCAATATAAAGCAATGCCCTTTAATTGTTTCATTCATACTTTTTTGTATTAAAGAATTTTATATAGCTCCTACACATTGGATGAAGATAAAGAGAAAGAAGAACTATTGTTGTTTACATTCTGTGCAATATTTGTAGAGCACAAGGATTTTTAAAAGTGACAGCAAGAATGTGTCCATAGTACACGGATGCCCCACTCGCACTATCATTTTCTATGTTCAGTGGACCGTTAAATTGGGGACAAAACTCTAATTTGGCATTAAAATTAGAAAGATCATGTCATAGGGAACATGTGTAATAAGTTTCAAGTTGATTGTACTTCAACTTCATCAAACTACCTTGACCAAAAATTTTAACCTGAAGCGGGACGGACAGACGGACGGACAAAGGGACAGACAAACGGACGGACGAACGAACGAACGAATAAAAGAACGAATGGACGCACAGACCGAAAAACATAATGCCCCTCTACTATCGTAGGTGGGGCATAAAAATAGATGGTTGCAAATAGTTTAGGGACTTTTATTTTTCAAACAGATATGTATAAACAGGTTCAAATTGTTTTAAAATGATTTTAATAGAATTAATATTTGCAAATGGCAGATTTATTATTCAGTCAGAAGAGTGTCAAAAGTATGTTTTGATAGCTGTAAATCATCCAATTAAGAGCAAATTATTGAACTACCTGTCCAGAAAGAATTTAAAATTTGCTGTTTTTTAGAGGAAAATTTAGCATTTTAGACATCTGAACTCTCTTGGCACTAGAATATAGGTGAAACAGGTCATTTGATGAAATCCTGGGTTATTTTATTACCCTGCCAGGTATGGTAAAATCTTAGTTGAGATCTTAAAATCTTGGAAATGGGCTGCAAAAATTGGTTCAGTTGACAGGTATTGGGATTTATAAACCATTAATTTAAACTAATGTTCAACGTTCAACATGGTAAAATTATTCTATAGGCTTGTATGCAGACTTAGGCAAAACAAGGAAATCAAATTTCACCAAAAATTGCAATCCCAGAAAATAAAGGAATTCACAGCAGTTTTGAAATGTAAACACTAAGAAAGTTTTTTTTAACAATACAATACTAACTGTCTATTTCATCGGCAAACAATTCTCCGTATATCATCCAATAAGGATAGAAAAATACATTTCTAACAAGATGCCAACGCCATTCCTCGTTCTGGAAATGTATGGCTTGTCGTACTATACCAAAACTCATCAGAACTAATGTCACAATGATGATGAAATATGACATGTCTCTCAGCTGAAAAATAAATCAACTTTTTGTTAAACATCTCTCATCATTAATAAACAGAAATATTTTAAGAAATATACAGTTCATAATGCTGCAAGAACAACATGAGCATACACATTTGGTGTTGGTCTACACATAATGTATATATATATGATGTTTTTACCTGTAAACCAATTAACCAACATTCTTTTTTTTTAATAATTAAGAGGATTTTAGATTTTGAAGACAGTTGTGTATCAACATCTAGTCTCTAAAGTTTCCTTGATAATTTGATTAAAACAAAAAATACCAAAAGGAAATAATCTTTCAATGTCTAAAATAGACGAGTACAAATATACTGTGGATTCATTATTATTCGTTGGATACCAATTTTCGTGGATTTCGTGGGTACAGGTGAACCACGAATTCAAATGTTCAACGAATTACATATTTTCAATAGGCTCTGTATACAGAGATTAGCAAAACCACGAAATCAAATATCCACGAATATGCAAGTTTTCAGCAATCCACGAAAATTGATACCCACGAAAATAAATGAATCCACAGTAGATGTAATATATATTATTCCTCTTTTTAATGTACTAAGTCATTATTTCAATCTTTTAGACTATTTCATTACAATACAGACACTTTAACTTTTCTTACAATAGTTATCAATACCATCAGAGGCTGGAGAAATCATTTTTTCAAATTGTCTTGTTATAAATTGCTATACAGTAGAATGTTGTCACTTACTGAGAAAGACCAATAAACTGGTATATTTGGTATAACTAGGGTATTTAACAAGTTTGCTAATAATTTTTTTAAAGGTACTTAGGTACTTTCGACTTAGTTTACTAATGCTGTGGTAATTTGACTCCAAACTTCAATAATGCTAAATGTCAAAATATTAACAGACAATATTTAATTGAGGTACTAATTTTACTCACGTTTGCTCATAATTTTAAGAAAAAAATCCATAAGTACTTGTTGACAGACAATATTTTATTAAGGTAATAATTTTACTCACAAGTTTGCTTATAATTTTAAGGATAAGGTCCTAAGTACTTGTTGACAGACATAATTTTATTAAGGTACTAATTTTACTCACCAGTTTGCTTATAATTTTAAGATAAGGTCCTAAGTACTTGTTGACAGACATAATTTTATTAAGGTACTAATTTTACTCACCAGTTTGCTTATAATTTTAAGATAAGGTCCTAAGTACTTGTTGACAGACATAATTTTAGTAAGGTACTAATTTTACTCACCAGTTTGCTTATAATTTTAAGATAAGGTCCTAAGTACTTGTTGACAGACACAATTTTAGTAAGGTACTAATTTTACTCACCAGTTTGCTTATAATTTTAAGATAAGGTCCTAAGTACTTGTTGACAGACATAATTTTTATTACGGTACTTATTTTACTCACAAGTTTGCTTATAATTTTAAGATAAGGTCCTAAGTACTTGTTGACAGACATAATTTTTATTAAGGTACTAATTTTACTCACCAGTTTGCTTATAATTTTAAGATAAGGTCCTAAGTACTTGTTGACAGACATAATTTTATTAAGGTACTAATTTTACTCACAAGTTTGCTTATAATTTTAAGATAAGGTCCTAAGTACTTGTTGACAGACAATATTTCTAAAATCCTCATTATCCACAATACTATATTAACTGTGTAAACAACCCTGGATGATTGTAGAGTATAAGGATGGAATCGTAACCCAACTGCAATCATAAAGATCAAAATGGCTATACTATCCCAGACGTTCCATAACTGACTGTAGTGCACTTTCAGTTTCATCCAAAACCTTGATGGTTCAGCTGCTATAACCTGGAAAATAAAACATAAATTCAATTTCTTATTGAACGAATGAACTGCATGTAAACTAACATTTGGTTTTGTGTTACTGTATGTATACCAACTCATTTTTTAGCAATTTATTATCACTATCTAAGAAATAAAGTGAATATAAATTTTCAAGAACATGGTAAGCTTGGGTCAATGGACTCAATACGCAAAGAAACTTAGAATGTCCTGAACATGCATTAAATATTTGCCACTGGATGTTAATATGTATTCAAATTAGTTTATTTTTTGTTGTTGTTATTCTGTATTTGTCATAAGTATCATGTTTTATTTATATATATAACAATAAAGAATTATTATTATTATATTACTCCCCTTTTCGTCTTCAAACAATACATGAATTAAAGTCTTAATTTAGTGTTCTTTAAAAGGTAACTAATTAATAATGAATTCATATAAGATATAGGAAAGGTATTTGGTTTCCATATCCTCTGGTTATTATTATCCAAATATTTTCTTTTGATACAGGGATCACACTAAAGCAATAGGTGATTGTCAAAGTGCTTTCATATAATAGTTCATTACCATATAACAAATGCATAAAGAACTTTTCCCGACAAAACAAACCATGGAGGTGTAAACTGCAAGTATTGAGATATTCTTGGGGGAGAAATAAATTCAAAGAATGATCCCTCATAAGAACAATTAATCAATACATAAATTCATTTAAAACAAAGCCAATCCCATACAACCTATAGAAATGGACACAGCTAGTTCCTCCATTAATAAAACAAACAAATGGCATCAATCTATTTCACACAACAATTGATTATAAAATCCATGTGGCTCTTTCCATAACAGATTTATATATATGGGAGCAATAGCTTAAATGATCATTCTTCATAGTTATCTTTGGTTAATCAACTTGAAAACAACCTGTCCTATCAAAATAAATCAAACATCTTCTGATTTTTCCAGTTCGTTTGTGAAAAACAACAGCTTTTATTGGAAATGAGTAATCAACCAGACAGTTTAAAAGCTAATTGCTAAATGTGAAATCAATGTTATATTTTGATGCACTTATAATTGTTCTGACACTTGCCGTATGGAAAGGGAGATAACTTGTGTAATGAAATAAAGGTAAGGAGATGTTTGTTATTAATGAAAACAATATCTTACTAAAATATGCATGAATCTTCTTAAAACTGTTGGATTATCATATTTTAATTAACCATTCATACATTTACAAAAAAAAAATAAGTTCAATATAAGGCAATAATATATATTTTTTATTATTCATTTAATTTTTTTTATTATATACATATATATATATATATAAACAAGTCTGAATTGAAAACAACGTCAATATATATATAATATTCAATTCAAAAAAAGATTGGAGCAAAACAGAAACAAATCATCTAACCTAAAATTAAAAATAAACTTACCTTGTCTCAAATTTTTTCAAAATATCCCCCCCCCAAGACATGTGTCAATTTTCAAAAAGATCTGCAAGTGGTAGTCAGTCCTATATGAGATATCTATAGTGGCTCTATCATGAGAGAGAGAGAAATAAGATTATGATGATGCACTAAATAGGAACATACATGTGCTGGTCCTAAGCTAGGAACCTTGTGAGTAATTGTCTTTTGTCATACATGTGCTAGTCCTAAGCTAGGAACCTTGTGAGTAATTGTCTTTTGTCATACATGTGCTGGTCCTAAGCTAGGAACCTTGTGAGTAATTGTCTTTTGTCATACATGTGCTGGTCCTAAGCTAGGAACCTTGTGAGTAATTGTCTTTTGTCTTACATGTGCTAGTTCTAAGCTAGGAACCTTGTGAGTAATCGTCTTTTGTCATACATGTGCTGGTCCTAAGCTAGGAACCTTGTGAGTAACCGTCTTTTGTTATACATGTGCTGGTCCTAAGCTAGAGCCTTGTGAGTAACAATCTTTTGTCATACATGTGCTGGTCCTAAGCTAGGAACCTTGTGAGTAACCGTCTTTTGTTATACATGTGCTGGTCCTAAGCTAGGAACCTTGTGAGTAACAATCTTTTGTTATACATGTGCTGGTCCTAAGCTAGGAACCTTGTGAGTAATTGTCTTTTGTCATACATGTGCTAGTTCTAAGCTAGGAACCTTGTGAGTAATTGTCTTTTGTCATACATATGCTGGTCCTTAGCTAGGAACCTTGTGAGTAATTGTCTTTTGTCATACATGTGCTAGTCCTAAGCTAGGAACCTTGTGAGTAATTGACTTTTGTCATACATGTGCTGGACCTTGTGAGTAATTGTCTTTTGTCATACATGTGCTGGTCCTAAGCTAGGAACCTTGTGAGTAATCGTCTTTTGTCATACATGTGCTGGTCCTTAGCTTGGAACCTTGTGAGTAATTGTCTTTTGTCATACATGTGCTAGTCCTAAGCTAGGAACCTTGTGAGTAATTGTCTTTTGTCATACATCTTTTGTCATACATGTGCTGGTCCTAAGCTAGGAACCTTGTGACTAATCGTCTTTTGTCATACATGTGCTGGTCCTAAGCTAGGAACCTTGTGAGTAATTGTCTTTTGTCATACATGTGCTGGTCCTAAGCTAGGAACCTTGTGAGTAATTGTCTTTTGTCATACATGTGCTGGTCCTAAGCTAGGAACCTTGTGAGTAATCGTCTTTTGTCTTACATGTGCTGGTCCTAAGCTAGGAACCTTGTGAGTAATTGTCTTTTGTCATACATGTGCTAGTCCTAAGCTAGGAACCTTGTGAGTAATTGTCTTTTGTCATACATGTGCTGGTCCTAAGCTAGGAACCTTGTGAGTAATTGTCTTTTGTCATACATGTGCTGGTCCTAAGCTAGGAACCTTGTGAGTAATTGTCTTTTGTCTTACATGTGCTAGTTCTAAGCTAGGAACCTTGTGAGTAATCGTCTTTTGTCATACATGTGCTGGTCCTAAGCTAGGAACCTTGTGAGTAACCGTCTTTTGTTATACATGTGCTGGTCCTAAGCTAGAGCCTTGTGAGTAACAATCTTTTGTCATACATGTGCTGGTCCTAAGCTAGGAACCTTGTGAGTAACCGTCTTTTGTTATACATGTGCTGGTCCTAAGCTAGGAACCTTGTGAGTAACAATCTTTTGTTATACATGTGCTGGTCCTAAGCTAGGAACCTTGTGAGTAATTGTCTTTTGTCATACATGTGCTAGTTCTAAGCTAGGAACCTTGTGAGTAATTGTCTTTTGTCATACATATGCTGGTCCTTAGCTAGGAACCTTGTGAGTAATTGTCTTTTGTCATACATGTGCTAGTCCTAAGCTAGGAACCTTGTGAGTAATTGACTTTTGTCATACATGTGCTGGACCTTGTGAGTAATTGTCTTTTGTCATACATGTGCTGGTCCTAAGCTAGGAACCTTGTGAGTAATCGTCTTTTGTCATACATGTGCTGGTCCTTAGCTTGGAACCTTGTGAGTAATTGTCTTTTGTCATACATGTGCTAGTCCTAAGCTAGGAACCTTGTGAGTAATTGTCTTTTGTCATACATCTTTTGTCATACATGTGCTGGTCCTAAGCTAGGAACCTTGTGACTAATCGTCTTTTGTCATACATGTGCTGGTCCTAAGCTAGGAACCTTGTGAGTAATTGTCTTTTGTCATACATGTGCTGGTCCTAAGCTAGGAACCTTGTGAGTAATTGTCTTTTGTCATACATGTGCTGGTCCTAAGCTAGGAACCTTGTGAGTAATCGTCTTTTGTCTTACATGTGCTGGTCCTAAGCTAGGAACCTTGTGAGTAATCGTCTTTTGTCATACATGTGCTGGTCCTAAGCTTTGAACCTTGTGAGTAATTGTCTTTTGTCATACATGTGCTGGTCCTAAGCTAGGAACTTTGTGAGTAATCGTCTTTTGTCATACATGTACTGGTCCTACGCTAGGAACCTTGTGAGTTATCGTCTTTTGTCATACATGTGCTAGTCATAAGCTAGGAACCTTGTGACTTATCGTCTTTTGTCATACATGTGCTAGTCCTAAGCTAGGAACCTTGTGAGTAATTGTCTTTTGTCATACATGTGCTAGTCATAAGCTAGGAACCTTGAGACTAATGGTCTTTTGTCATACATGTGCTAGTCCTAAGTTAGGAACCTTTTGAGTAATCGTCTTTTGTCATACATGTGCTGGTCCTAAGCTAGGAACCATGTGAGTAATCGTCTTTTGTCATACATGTGCTAGTCCTAAGCTAGGAACCTTGTGAATAATTGTCTTATTCTTATCCTACTTTTTTTGTTATATTGGAAAGTTTGATACATTTTGAGCTAAGACTTATAAATTGCATGTTCTCTAAAAACTCGTACATAAGCCAGTTTACAGTTCACTTCAAGGAATACAACTATTTGTTATACAAAGTTATTTTTTAAGGTTGGAGAAATTTATCATTAATTTAGATTTTACTTGAACATCCACAGGAATCAAACTTTTATTGCCAAATTTTAATTTTCAAATGTTGAAACCCAATGTTGGCCAAACAGTTTAAATATTTCTAAATTAACCTATCTGCAATAGAGAAACATGGAAATGTGATATTCTATATGATGCAGCAGAAATTTCTAATTTTTAGACCGGAAGTGCATAATCAATACCACCTTTTGTTTTGTTCCAATAGACATGTTGAACATTTCAAAAGGACTGATCGATTAGAATAAAAATCATAATAAAAACAAAGCTGACAAAAAAAAAACTACAGCATTTAACCATTAGATGATTCATTGTAAATACCCCACCACTCCGCCTGTAAGAATCTATACCGAACAACCTGATATATATAAATAATTCTATTTCAGAAATGGAAGACACAATCAACATAGATTATATACATGAATTTCTACAAGAAACCAGGAAACAAACTATTTGACACAAAAGGCACTTATCAAGATGACTACTGTGTATCCATCACCAAATAGTTCCCACTTAATCATAGCTGAAAACATAAAGCTGCTAAGAGACCCAAGCATCACAATGTCATCCAGAAATATAACAAAG